CGTTAAATATAGTTTTACAGATGAAAACTATACTTAACTAATCGTTAACTATAGTTTACGGTTTGTAAACTATAGTTTACACTAAACCTAGTTTATCAATTGTGAAACTAGGTTTATCTCATTTTTGTGAATTTGGCGTGCCATAGATATGTACCATAATATCAATCAATATGTTATGAAATACTTTTAAGTTTATGCAAGTCTAATGGTATGGGTCATGGATATAAGCCAAGTAAGCTCAGTCAGTAGAGCATCTGACTGGTGATGCAGGGGCCCCTTCTTAGATTCACAGTCCAGCCATGCATTTTCTCCTTCCTTGTTACATATTTGATATGGGTTGTGTCTGCAAGGATAAAGATAACTTTAAGGAGGGATATGTAATTGTTGTGCTATGGGTATCAACCTGGGTAGCTCATTCGGTAGAGCATCTGACTAGTGAAGCAGGGTTCCTGAGTTCAATTCCTGGTCCAACCATAGTTACCATACATTTTCTCCTTTCCTATTATACAAGTTTTAAATGTGCCTGAATTTTTACTTCAACAAAAAATATTATTCCTAATACTGTATACAGGGAAATTTTTGCCCCTGTTTTATTTTTGCCCCTTTCACCCTCTCCTTGATTGGACGAATTCAAATTACACCTCATAATTTCTTAAACAGAACTATGACTGGGTGAATTTAAAATGGGGCAAAATTGTTCACAAGTTCAAAAGGGCGAAAATAACACTGGGCGAAAATAACCCTGTATACAGTAATGAAATTTATATTTTATTTCCACTATGGGATTTATTTGTATTCTTAGTAACTATTCATATTTTCATATTTAAAAATAAACATATCTTTGGAGACCAAAATGTAATCTTTGTTGATAAGTAATTGTACAGGAATTTGCATTTTTGAAAAAAAAAATTTTGACCATCATTAAAAAAAAATTCTCACAGCAAATCTTAGCCTTTTTTCTGTATTCATTCAGGCATATATGATTATCTCTTACATCAAATGTACCTATCTTACTGTTACATATCTAGAAGGGATGGAATGTAGAAGCTTCTTGGGCCTTATAAATTTGTAAACAGTGAATTTTATAATTTTGTGTGTGGATGTATAGGTTGGGGCAGTCTCACTGTTTTTGGTTTTTAATAAAATAAAAATAAAAAGTGGAGTAAATGTGCAATTTAATCCACATGCTTTATTCTGGCAAAAGTCCATTTTAAAGAAAAAGAAAATTTCTCCCTGATACATGTTCTTAAACTTGGTTTTAAAAAAATTCTGATACATGTAGTACCAATTATTTTCACTTACTAATTAAGTCCCATGCAAACTAGAGTATGTAAATGCCTTGAAGAAATCTAACTCTAAGATACCAAAGATCCCGGAACATATTTTGGTTCTGAAATTATTGAGAGTCTATATAATCCTCATCAAGGAAATAAAAATGGTATTTTATTATCATTATAAAACAAATACCACAGTTTACACAAATGACCGTCATTTCAGGGAAAATCAGCATTTCAAATTTTTTTCATCACTTTTTACCATTTCCATGTATATGCACAATATCAAATGCATCAATGCATCTTTTCTGATAACTAGCTTACATTTGAAGACACTATATAGAAAAAAATCAAGTTTATTTTAAATTTTTAATTGTGCTAAAAATTTTACAATTTATCATATACTGTTATAAAAAAATATTTGAAAGTTTTCCCAAATAGATGGAACATCAAACAGCTTTAAACCAGAATTTTTAGGTGTAATTAGGGCCACTTAATTGACTCAATGATTGTCAATTATAAAATTCATATTGTGTATATTTCGAATACCTGTATCATGAATTAATTTTGCTTGATCACAAAAATATGTTCATGGATTTATATTCTCTATAAATCTCTTCTGCACTCACTTATTAATGCAATAACTCATTGGAAAATTTTCTACAATGTTCAAGGTCCTCCACATTTATTACTTTTATCAGGTGGAACCTTTTTTATCTTTCAACATTTTTGAAATGGGTCTTTAGACATGTTAGATTTAAAAAAAAAATTGTTTACTTATTTATTTGTTTATTTATTGTTAAAAAAACAAATGCTTTTAAGTAACAAGATGCTTCAAATTATTTTTTGCAAACCTTTATTTCAAAGCAAAGCTTGATTTACGTATGTAAACAACATGCACAGCCACTGAGGAAAAGAAAAACGTCTGTGACTTGCCAGGTTCAATTTCGCGCATTATTGTTTTCATTTAGACGATGTAATGTATGTCTACTTACAAAACACCAAATAAACAAATAATAACCACCTTATGTCCAAAATATAAAACTTTGCCGACCACATAAGCTCTCGATATGCTTCAGACTGATGTGCATCCTACTTTCGTTTTAACAGGAAGAACTTCGCAAGGTTAAGGTCAAGTCAAGTTAACCAGAGTTTTTCTGCTAAAATATCGAAAATTTCTAAGTAATTTTAAGTCTACTAACACAAATTTATTAGAATTATTGATATTTAACTATTTTTGAGATTTGTTTCTTTATTTTCCTTTATATTTGAGCAAGTTAGTAGATATTTATTACATGCGCGTTTTTTCCCTGTTTCCAAAAATAGCGGACTGACTTTCATCGTAACAAACGCCAAACACCTTCACTTTAAATCACAATTTCACAAATAATTCGCATATTTTCACATCTTAATTACCTATTTTGCAATGTGTTGTAGTTGTATAATACATTTTGATAGATTCTGAATAATTCACAGCTCATTTATACGTTTTATACGACGTTTTATGTGACGAAGCGCTAATTTCAGACTCAGACCCAACATATTGGGTTCCCGCACGCAAGCGTTTGTGACGTCAGACCCAATATATTGGGTTCCCGCACACAAAGGGTTAACTAGGGATGTCAAATCGGTCAATTTTTAATGCTCGGTTACTCGGACGTTTTTCCGATCGAGTACTCGGGTACTCGGTAAATGTGTAAATAAATATGAACAAGTAAATTGATGAATGTAAAACATTGTAAACTCTTATAGAAATAAAACCACATACTCTGATAGAAGGTTTACCCGTTAATGCATTTCTGTTGTAACAATGATTAGCACTTCGTGCCCGACGAAATTTAATACAAAACTTTTTAAAGTTCAATTTATTTATCAGATAAACAAGAAATAAAATCATTAGTGGTTCACAGTGTTTTTGTTAAAAAAAAAAATCTACTCCGTAATTGTAATGTAATTCGTTGTTGCGTTTGACGTCCAGGTATCAGTCGTACAGTTTGACTTGAACTTGACCAAGTTCTAACAGAGCGGATTTACTATTTTCGTATACTTTTCGATCCTAGATTTTATAGTAATAAGGATCGGTAGTAGTTTGGTGCAAAGATGGACATCACCTTTTTTTAGAGCCTTTGCCTTCAACCATTTGTACATGTATTGGCATGTAATCAAACACAACCATATCAACAATCGCGCGTGTAATTATCATCTGTCTCTTTTCCCGAGAATTTACGGTTTCTCGGAGAATTGACAAAATTGTCTAATTTATTTAATCATAACAGACCTTAAACGATGTTCAGTAAAAACAAATAAAGCAAATCTTTAAAAAGGGTAGAAGACAGCCGAGGGTGACAAAAGCCAGGTAACAGGTGCTTGGTCACGATAATTGCTGTATAAACACTGCCACGGGCGATAACGGTCATGTAGAGGCGTAGGAAACCCTAATTACTGTATGTACAAGTGCAATGAGTATTTTACGTTTTAAAAAGACTGTTTAATACATTAATAAATAAACTTAGAAATATTCAAAAATATACATCCGAGTAACCGAGTACCGATTTTAGTATATACTCAACTCTTAATACCCGGTTAACCGGGTACTCGTTGACATCCCTAAAATTAACATATGCAAGCACAAAATTTCATTGCCTCTAAGGTCTTAGTTTTCTTTTAGTTAACTTTTTATTTCTATAGGCTACAGGTGTATTTCAGATAAATATCAAATAGGCTCGCCCTGTTCTGAAGGAAACATTACATTGAATGCATTCCTTGTAAGTCTCTGTCTGTTCTGTCCATGTTATCACTATTTTCAACAAGAATTAATTTACAATTATTTTTATGTTTCCTTAAAATTTTAGTAAGATTTTAGGGAAGGATTCATTAATTAACTGATTATCTGAGTCATCTTCTATCACATGAATAACATCCAAATTTACTGCCATGGAATCAAAACCAAAATTTTGGATATATTTTAAGAAATTTTTGCTGTATTTAAAATAAAGTGCAAGACACATGAATTTTTGACTTAATTGCTGATATCAGATTTTTAAAACATTATGGTATGGCAGATCATGACATTTTGATAGTCATTAGAAAATGTAAGAGTTTCTGATTCAGCCTGTAAACATGTTGTTATGGGAATGTTTTGAATGTTAATGATGTGCCCTGCAGTTCTACAGATATCTAAGATCACTGAAATGGCTGTTTAAAAGTGCAAGTAACTGTCATCTACATGTTTTGCTGTGTTTATTGTCTTAATGGCATCTAAATTGGATCTCCGCAGTCAACATGGTTAAATCAACTTCTTAAGATTTGAATGACTCATTGAAAGTGACTGCTTCTATGTTTACCAATTTGCCTATTAACACAGAATGATGTACTGCAATTTTGAATGATCATGATGATGCAGAATTTCCAATACATCACATTCTGCAGGATTATATTAGAATTGTAGAGAATGCTAACAGCTGTGTTAAAATTCAATGGATTATGTACTGAACATGTAAGCTATCTTGACTTTATATCATAACCGACTCCATCTGACCCCCCTCACACCTGCCCTGTGTTAGTTGTTGTAATTATAAGTTTTTGCTGATGTCTCTTTGTTTATCTGCACAAGGTTTGTTTACCCTTTGTCACTGTGACACAATACAGATATGTAAACAACTTAACACAACAGATCAATGATGGATATAGGAAAACAAGATCTTGTCATTGAATGTTTCATAGTGGGTATGAATAATTTCCTGTTAACATGAGTTGGGCCAGGAAATTTAGCTTTGAGAATTAGAGATTGAACAGAAAGAGTTCCTCTATTATACTGTGATTTGTTTTGCTCATGGTATAAACAATTTCTGATTGTTAATGCAATTTAAAATGGTAAGTGTTGCTTTTTTATTTTAAACTAGATTGGTACAGGTAACAGGTTATAGGTGGATAATAGGTCTAGAGGTATATTTTTCTACATATTTGTTATGAAATGTTTTTAAGTTTATCTACCGATGGATACTTCTGTCATATATTTGTTATCTGGGTATTAAGTTCTTGTCATATACTCAGCAGATATTTTTAAAAAAGGATAAAACTGTGCAGTCACTTTGAGCTCTAGTTATTTATTTTACAAAGTGTGTAAACATGTACATTTACAGAAATGGGTTTATTGGAGATAAGTTCTTTTTAAAAGATATCTATGAAGTAGAGATAAAAATAAATTGTCTGTACAGGGACCTACATCACTCAACACTGGTCACTGTGGTATTTAATTCTTGTGGAAAAAAGCTGGTTTTGAAGTACAATGTAATGTAAGATTTGCTGGTTATCAATGGTTTGTGACTCTACACTGACATTTTACATCAGAGAAATGACGTGTAACTGTTATAGACAGTAGGGATATTTATTGTGTCAAAAAGAAGAAATATTTGTGTACAATCCAGGACACATGAGAAATTAAAGGGACATAACATGCCAATAAATGTCCACCTACTGATGTAACTGAACAAGAGGAATTCCAGTAATATACAAATCTTAATAGATAGGGAAATGTTTCAAAAAAAGGTTGTAGAGATTATACAATGCACATGTATCCTTGTATAATGCATAACTTTCTACTCATTTAAAAAGTTATAGGTCAAAAGTTGATTATGCTTTTCATAAGGGCTCATATTACTGAGATAAGGGACATAGCACATTAATACATGTATGTGTATATATAAAGTACTGGTACCTAAATATATAGTACTTTGTAGTTTGTGCCCTGTAGATATTTCCTCATAGCCAAAGTCTGTACATAAGATAACACAGCTAATGTAAGCATATTGAAAATGCAACATTCGATGATTACACAGCCTTCAGTCAACGAACGACCTTATATAAACTAAACATTTTAAGATGTCCTACAGAGAATTCATGTAACATTGTGTTTTTACATGTTCTCCATCATAATATGTATGGAAGGTTTGAGTGTTGCACACTTGACGTCTCTTTATTCTTCAATGGAAGTATTTTTCTAAGAATTTTTTTTACATTCTCTTTTAGGCACAATGGAACATTCAGGAAGGCTGATGGAAGGAAAGCTGTGATCAGCTCAGGAAATCTGTAACCCTTTGGACGCGATTACATGAGGAAGTACAATCCACACAATGTTGAATTCTATGTTCTTCTCATAAGACATGGCTAACAGAGAGGAGGGCTAAGGGTCCCCTCGTGACCCCCAGACCAGGACTGTACCCCCGGGGCCTCAGCAATGGAGGAGGAGGAAAGTAGGGAGTGGCTGTATGACCTCCTCAGTGAGGTTCAACTCGGACAGTTCTTTTCCAAATTACGGGACGACCTCCAGGTCACGCAGTAAGTATTGAACACTAACTGGTGCTAAGGTATAAATGGATTTACTTAATGAGAGCATCGTGGCCAGGGTGCACATTAGATTCTACTCAGTAATGTGAAAGAAGTGAATAATTTGTATGTTTCATCAACTGATTTTGTATCCATTAAGGATCAATTGTCTCTTAGTTTCCTTGTTATATGTACAAAACTAAGTATTCAACATATAAGCATCGCATATCAAAGTTAGTCGTGTTTGGGAGAGGAACTCTTTGAACAAGAAATCTATTTTGTGTATTATTATGGAGATTAAAGTTTTCTCTTGATATTTTGAAATGGGAAGATATAAAGTGCCTTTGTCCTACAATCATGTATAGCCAATTTTGTTGGTTTAATCTGCGAGACCCTTTAAATATCTGTCTTTGATTTGAATTGTTTTCAGAAATCACAAAAAGGACCATGATTGTGTTAACATAAATGACAAAAGTTAATATTAGTTTACTGGTTAATAAGGCAAAGCAAGGGCATCTGACTATTTTACAAGAACATTGAAAAGCCTTTATATCAAATTTACATGAAATCATTTAAACTTTATTATGAGTTTTTTTCTTTTGAAATTGATTATATTCTAAATCATAGTATTAATTAAATTAAAGAGCTTAAATGAAAAAAAGATGATTAAAAAATAATTTTTAATATGGTCATTTAAAAAAAAAAAAAGAAGAAATTCTTATCTTATGAAATCAGCTTGTGTAGGGAATGTATTGTGAAAGGTTTACCAATGTACCTGTTGATCAGTATATTTTGAGTTTAATAACTGGAGGAGATATGTTATTACTGTAATACTTCTTAATGACAGGTCTGAAGTTGAATTAATGTTGAAATACACATCGTGTTTTAATGTGTGGCCCAGGGGTATTAGACAGTATACTAGGTACAGCAGTCTGGTATTACCACAGATTAATCACTAAATCAGGTGTAAACTTGGCTTACCAATCCCTAGTGTGGGTGGATATAGGTAAAATAAAGGTAATGTGGGTTACAGGAATACACACCTGTGTTTGTAAACAGACATTCAGTATATACAGTTACATCATTTTGCACTTTGAAGAATTAAAGTTCTGATACTTTATTTATAAACAATGGATAAAGAAAAAAAATCATTAGTCCAGCTCAGTACATGTACAATGATCTCCCATATTTGGAGAAGCCAGATTTGAAACAGGTGCTTTTATTCCTACTTAAGAGTATTACAGAAATGACTTTAGACTTGTTGGACACAGGTGTATAATATCCAGAGGAGCGTAGTTCCTGTGAATGCAGGCTCATTGTTAATTATACAGGTGTTGTATGATAGCTGCCTGCTGTTACCTTTAATTGACACCTCTAGCATCAGGTAATCTGGCCAGGTAATGTACCAAAAAATCTAGTTAAAAAGAGATTGCATGGAAAATTCCCAGCCAGAGAGGAGAGGGCAGGTATTATGTAATGTTTGGGCCCAAAATCTGATTCTCTGTATTTTTGCCAAAGTCAGTGTACCCTGGCATTAATAGAGTTATAGTTCATTTAATCTTGCATCATAAAATGAAAATTTAATTGCTCTTAAGGGCTTAAGATTAGTAGATATCAGATACTCCACTCCTCTGGTCAGATTTCAAGGTTTAGATAGAAGGTTTCCTTTGGGCCTGTAATGAACTGATTTAAGATTAACCACTGAGAGTCAAGAGCCAAGACACAACGTCTAAGTGCTACACAAGTGTGGACCTTAAAAGTACTAGATCGTGGATACAAGTGTATTTGTTGATCATTAAATTTCAGACTCTCACACTTTGAGTATGTTAAGACTGAGGACTTGGAGAAGATTGGTATGGGAAAACCTGCCATCCGACGCTTACTGGACGCAGTCAAGAAAAAGAGGGCCAGTAAAAAACCCAAAATACTAGACAAAGTAAGGATTCAGTCTATAATCTGGTAATAGGAATTTTAACATGGAACCCAAAGAATGAGAGCATATTTTTTACTTTAAAATCATGCAAAAAAGAGCGTCCAAGAGTACTTGTCTATTTCGTAATGTTTTATGTCAATGGGCTATAGGTATATATGTATACCTGAGAGAAGATACAGGTGTATGATTACTTCTGTCCATAATCATGTCAATCTGAACTAGCGTGTTGACCTTTTTGATGACCCTTTTACAGATTCTCTCAGGAACAGCCAAGAGGATGACCGAGGATGTAACAAAATCCTCCTCCCCCTCCTCACTTCCTCATCACCACGGGGAGCAGTCCTTAACCTGCCTCATTGATAAGAAGCAGCTGATGTTGTGGGGAAAGCTGGGTAATGGATCATTTGGAGTGGTGCGGGAGGGTGAATGGACCACCCCCAGTGGTCGTAAGGTAGGTCGTTTATTTGCTTTTTGATCTTTTGGGCTCCAATCATCAGATAAGTGATGCGATTCAGCTCTCTCCAGATAGAGCTTTATTGTAACAGTCCGTGTCAGATCTTTAGAGAGGGAGGTCAATGAGAAAGTTGACTTTAATTTTTGTTTGACACATTTTTTCAAGGCTCTGTATTTCCTGTCATTATTTTTTTTTACAATGACTAGCTTACAGTGATAAAATCTGTGGCACATCAAAGACAAAAAAAAATCCAAAAGTACAAAAAAAAACTTTAGTTGTAAGAGAGATGTACTTATTACTGGTAAGTATGCTTGTTATTATTGTCAAGTGACTTGAATATACTGTATTTTGAAATCAAGTTATTGACATACATCAGAGCTTGTTGAGTTAGATGTAACAACGAGAAGTGGATTTGTCAGGTTGAGAGATAAAATCACTGTTTCTAGACTTTAATCTGATAATGATCTCATATATTTTCAAGATGTTATTTAAACTAGAGATTAGTACATGTATTGTGACATGTTATTCTTTTACAAGAACAAATTGCACCTCTGTAAACAACATCGCAAAGCAAGAATTAAATGTAAATTAATACGCAACATTTGCATTACAGAAGAAGGTGGCCGTTAAGGTGTTACGAGCGGATGCCCTCGCTCAGTCCGGGGCTTTTGAGGACTTTGTTAAAGAAGTGAACGCCATGCATAGTCTTAATCACCCAAATTTAATACAGCTGTATGGCATTGTTCTCTCCTCACCACTGATGATGGTATGAATGAGAGCTTATAGCTCTGATTTGAATATTTGTGTTTAGAATACATACTAGATTGTAATAAGCTTATAGCAAAGTGCCAGGGACCAACGATTTTGATTTTTCTTATTTGCAAACTGTAACATCTGTTCACAAAATGTTTTTTTAATCATGGGGAATGGACATCACTTTGTTAAAAGCATAAATTCATTATAAGTTTGTTCACTATAACTGTGTACAGTAAAACTTCAAAACCTCAAAATTCTGCAAGCATTCCCATTTTCCTATCGATTACTTTATTTTTAGCTCTACTGGTCAGAGACCAGAAGAGCTTATGTGATAGTAATGCGTCCGTCGTCCGTCTGTCTGTCTGTCCGTCTGTAAACAATTTTTCAAAATGCTACTCCTCTTACAGTTTTGGTCAGATTTCAATATAACTTGGCACACAGGTAGACTACACTAAGAAATATAATTCTATATATTGGTTTTTGATTTCGATGAACGGTGTTGCCGTTGTTACTAAAAATAGAAAAATTTGTGAAAATCATTCAAAATGCTACTCCTCCTACAGTTTTAATCTGATTTCAGTATAACATGGCACACAAGTAGACTACACAAAGATACATAATTCTGTTTATCGGTTTTTGATTTCGATGAACGGTGTTGCCGTTGTTACTAAAAATAGAATTTTTTGTGAAAATCATTCAAAATGCTAATCCTCCTACAGTTTAAATCTGATTTCAATATAACTTGGCACACAAGTAGACTACACAAAGATACGTAATTCTATATAGCGGTTTTTGATTTCGATGAACGGTGTTGCCATTGTTACTAAAAATAGAATTTAAAAAAATACTTTCAAAGTGCTCCTCCTCCTACAGTTTTGGTCTGATTTTATTATTACTTTGCACACAAGTAGATTACACTAAGATACATAATTCTTTTTATTGGTTTTTGATTTGGATGAACGGTGCTGCCATTGTTACTAAAAATAGAAATTTCTATGAAAAACATTCAAAATGCTACTATTCCTACAGTTTTAATCTGATTTCAATATAACTTGGCACACAAGTAGACTACACTAAGATGCATAATTCTGTATACCGGTTTCTGATTTCGATGAACGGTGTTGCCGTGGTTACTAAAAATAGAACTTTCTGTGAAATACCTTTAAAATGTTACTCCTCCTATAGTTTCAATCTGATTTCAATATAACTTGGCACACAAGTAGACTACACTAAGATACATAATTCTGTATATTGGTTTCTGATTTCGATGAACAATGTTGCCGTTGTTACTAAAATAGAAATTTCCGTGAAAAACATTCAAAATGCTACTCCTCCAATAGTTTTGGTCTGATTTCAATATAACTTGGCACACAAGTAAACTACAATAAGATGCATATTTCTATGTATTGGTTTATGATTTCAATGAACAGTGTTGCTGTGGTTACTAAAAATAGAAATTTCCATGAAAAACATTCAAAATACTACTTCTCCTACAGCATGTACAGTTTTGGTCTGATCTCAATAAAACATGGCACACAAGTAGACTACACTAAGATACATAATTCTGTGTATTGGTTTTTGATTTCGATGAACGGTGTTGTCGTGGTTACTAAAAATAGAAATTATGTGAAAAACATTCAAAATTCTACTCCTCCTACAGTTTTAATCTGATTTCAATATAACTTGGCATACATTTGTAGACTACACTAAGATACATAATTCTGTGTATCGGTTTTTGATTTGGATGAACAGTGTTGCCATGGTTACTAGAAATAAGAAATTTCTGTGAAATACTTAAAGAATGTAATTCCAAATACAGTTTTAGTCTGATTATAGTATATGTATAATGTGGCATGCAAGTATAGTACACTGAGATACATGATCATTATTCTGTTTATTGCTGTTGTGAAATTTCAAGTCCCAACTGCCACTTTTCTTTGTTTAAAGTACAAACCAGTAGAGCTACAGTCTCGACAGAGACTTCTGGTTATTTTATGGACTTCCTATGTTGTTTTTGTAGTTTTATAGTTTTTACAGGAAATAATAAGTGATACAATTGTACCCAAATTTAAACAGTGTAGGCACATCTATCAATGTATTGTATAATGGTGGAAATATACTAGTCACTTTGAAATTATTTAAACTTCATTATTATTAAGATTCAAATAAATATTGTCAATAGACCTAATTAGGGTCTTCCGTCTCCAACGGAAGACCCTTCTATTATTCTATTGTTTCTTTTTCACTATTATTATTATTATTATTTTTTTTCGTCCAAATTTTGTGCAGACGATTTCTCAGAGATGCGTTGACAGATTTCTTTGAAATTTTCAGAGATGATGTATCATGATCTAAACTTGATCCATTTTTTTTAATTTTTGAAAAATCACTTCCGGTCGTAAATTATCGATCTTAAAACGAATTTTTAGTGACCATTTTGTCGACACAAAAAATCAAAAACGACAAAAGCTAGAATGTTGTCCTTTTCAGGACTAATAGATGACATGTTGTAGTTTTGCACCTATACTTTCAAATTTTCGTCAGTGCTTCCGGTCGATACCGGAAGCGAATTTAAAAAAACCGCAATTTTTCAACTTTTTTGTTTTCCAATATTTTTCTTTGATATTAGATATCTTAAAAGTGACTCTTTTGCGAATGCGAAATATGTAATTTGTTTTAGAATCGAAAAAGGCAATCTCGAGATTTTCGTATTTAAAAATATGAAGCGGTGTTTTCAATGGCCGAATGGTTAGCGCGTCGGATTGTCACGCGGGCGGCCCGGGTTCGCTCCCCCGAATGTCCGATTTTTTTAAATCACTTTTTCTGCAAGATTTTTCGTTTTTTACTTCAGAATCGGACGGAAGACCCCTCGTTGCTCGCAACGAGATCGTATCTAGTTATATTTCTATTACTTTTCCTAACATAATACCTTGTGTACCTGTATTAACAGGTGACAGAACTGGCCCCTGGAGGATCTTTGTTGGAACACTTGAGGAAGGAGCAGACAACTCTCCTTATATCCACCATGTGTGACTTTGCTATACAGATAGCCAATGGAATGAGCTATTTAGAATCCAAGCACTTTATTCACAGAGATCTGGCCTGTCGGAATGTTCTTCTAGCATCACCACAGAAAGTATGGGAAATTTAAAGCAATTGTAGTGACAAAATGGCACTAGTTCTTACTTTTATGATTATTTTTCTCCATTATTATTGGCAACATCAGATTTATGATAACTGATACTACAAATTGATTCAGTTAAAGATGGAGCAAATTAATCACGTGCTTATTGATTTGATGGTTTACAATTTAGTTCAACAGGAGCACAACATTTTGTTTGATGTAATACATCTGTATATACTGAAAGGAAAAAGAAACGCTTAAGAACATAATATTATGAAAATTGGTCAGATGTGTATTTTGGTTTCTTTGCACTAAAATCGCTGGTCAAAAGTACTCAACCATGAAAAGTATGGCGTCACATATTAAAAAGTCCAAAACACGTGAATGTTGATGATGATAATTTTGTGATAAAATTTTGTAATGCCATATGATGCATTAGAGTTATAGACATCGTTTTTGCATATTTTCAGTCAGTATAAATTTCTTGCAATCGTGGTATGGCTGACAGAAGCTACTGTGGGTTTTGTAATTGAATTCAATATTGCATAAGTGAATAAATAGGCAAAAACATGCTGCTGTACAGATTGTTTTCAACTTTTCAACTAAATAAAAGTTTTTTTGGTTGTCAGAGAGTTAACTTAAAATGTTTCTAACCGACCATGACGGTGACGTTCAGCGTGTAACAACGTCACAACAAGATAGGACTTTTCTTCATGCCACCTCGGTTATTGTCAAGGCATTATCGCTGAAACTGATATTTATACAACAGATAATCATACTAATTTTTTCACCCTAAATTGACATAAACTCTCTGCTCTAATTTGGGCCGTGAGCTTGGCCACTTTACGTCGATTTTACTCTCAAACACGCACCTACGCATCGTTTGCGTTATTGGTTTTAACATGTTTACACTGGGAAAATGTAGCTAGTGTTTGTCGAGACTTTTTTTACAAACATTCACGTGTACCAAACTTGCTGGGTTCTGTACATTCTATCCTAAATCGAAAATTCGTGGGATTCGATTGGGCGGGGGGATTGTTGGCTTTGGAATAATACAGCTAATCTCAGCCATTAGACTACCGTCGGAAGGGTTGAATAATAATGCTATGAAAAAGATAAATGCTCTGGTGAACTCAATGCACAGGAAAATCAAGTTTGTTACTGATGCGTAAGGGAGATTATGAGACGTTTTAGTTTTATTTTTGGGGGGTGTCGACATATTGATATCAACATCGCAGGAATTATCACTCAAAATCACACAAAATTTTGGTAACTTGTTGATTATAGATGAATTAATATGTGTGATAACAATGCTGGAAAACATAGTTGAAATAATTGTTTTAATTTAACTCAAAAGTTTGATATGCATTTCTTTATCCTTTCAGTATATTTTCTTTGTATCTGCAGGTGAAGATAGGGGACTTTGGACTAATGCGAGCTCTGTCACATCAAGAGGATCATTATACTATGTCAGAAACAAAGAAAGTCCCATTTGCCTGGTACACATTGCTAATCTGAACATTTTCCAAATTTAATACATGTATTGTATATTTCATATTATGATTGAAATAATATTAGTACTGGAAATAGAATACAACACTTGCGTATTTGTAAGATTCACTGACACAGTCTATCAAACAAGGTTTTAATGCATTTTTGAAATTGATATCTTGATAAATGGTTTGTGATTGAGACATCTGAAATGTTAAATTTTAAATAATTTCAAAAAAATATGTATCTTGGTATTTGCCCTTTTTTAAAGTGCCTGTGTTTTTTTGTAGGTGTGCCCCAGAGAGCCTGAAAATCCGTAAATTTTCTCATGCTAGTGACACGTGGATGTTTGGAGTGACATTATGGGAGATGTTTACATATGGCTCAGAACCGTGGATGGGTTACAATGGTTCCCAGGTAATTGTCGTGGAAGAGTTCAGCCACTTTCACAAGTTTTTTAAATTCGACAACTTACATCACATTTCAAGGGAAATTTTTCATTTTCATTTAAAATACTCAGCTTCAAATTCCCTAAATGGAAGCTTTTTTTTTTAGCTTCATTTTAAATCATTAACCCTTTCCTCCCTCAAAATCAATATTCATTAATATATAGAGTCATTAATTTTTTGTATTGTAGATCTTACAGATGATAGAGGAAGGTGAGAGACTCCCTAAGCCAGACTACTGCCCAGCTGATATATTTACTCTTATGTCACAGTGCTGGGCCCTGAAACCTCAGGACAGGCCAACTTTTCAGGCCCTCAAGGACTTTCTTTGTGAGGTAGGCTATATTAGACATCTTTATCATTCTATCGAAAATGACATGACAAACTTTTATCAATGAAATTTGCTTTCATTTTCCAAAGTTATTAAAAACTTGCCTCCATTAGAATAAAATGAAACACACACAATAATTCTATACAATCAACAGTACAACACCAAAAATTAAAATGTTATGTTCATTTGTCAATATTTTGTATTATCATTACAGATGAGGGCACAAGACGTCAAAGTTATAACAGAATTTGTGGAAAAGGATCATTTAGAGATATTAGAGGGGGATATGGTCACAGTTATAGACGGAAGGTACTGATCTATTGTAGTTTAATTTACAAAACTAACTCACCTACATGTATTTTGACTCTCTCAGTGATTTATATAATTACCTTGTAGACCTGACTGTTACTGGTGGAAAGGTCAGAACAAGAGGACCTGTGAGGTGGGGACGTTCCCACGCCACTGTGTGGACCCTCAACGCAAACGAACAGGTCAGATACTGCATAAAGGGTAATTTTTGCCCCCGTGTTATTTTTGCCCTTTTACACTTGCTTCACTTGCTATCAATTTCGTCCCGTTTTAAATTTGTCCAGTTACATTTCTGTTATAGAAATTATACTATGTTGTTTGAATTTACTTGCTTACTTATCCTCTTCGTCCCCGATGGGACATAAGGTTTCAGCAAGCTATGTTCTTTGAATTTGCCTCATTTTAAATTCGCCCAAGGGCGAGAGGGGCAAAAATAAAATGGGGGTGAAAATTTCCATGTATACAGTAAACAGGTTGCTGCTCTTTGATAGATATTTTGCTTCAAAGAATCTGCATGAACAATTTGCAGTAATTAAGAGTTGATATCACATATTAATAGTACAGTGTAGTTATTTACACAGTACCATTTTATTTTTGTACAGGAAATGACATCAGTCAGCCTTTGAAGAATAGTTTTATTCATACTGGTCATGGGGATCCAGGTGGAAAATCGTGGGGGGATCCAGCAGCTATTGATGAGTAAGTACCACAGTGAGGTCACTTTATTCAGAAAGAGAACTTATAGAAATACTTAAATCTTGTTCATTTCATCTTCTTTTGTAAGATTTTTTTAACCTCAAAAGAAATTTTCAAGAATTTGTGTAGAAATTCAAATACATGACAATGCTTTAAAATTTGGTGCCATTAATCCATGTAGGAGCCCCAAAGTATACAGTAATATATACAGAAGGACACTGATAATTTTTAAGGTCATTCTGTTACAAGTCAAGGTTCAAGTTTACATTTTGGCATGCAAACCTTGTATATGTGGCACAGAACATTGAGTAGAATTTTACAACTCATTCACAACACTACTGAAATAGGACTTAAGATTTTGAAACCACTAACTCATGATTATGGTAAGAAATCATCAAAATCTTCAGTATAGTCGAATTTGTATTGTATGAGTGTTATAGCCTTAGTATGACTAAAAAGAAAGTTTAGAGCATGATGTGAAGTTTGAGTCATTTATTTCTAAAATATATTATAATCAAGATTGTAAACTTTTATGATTTTAGTATGCACAACTGTTTTACAGGGTGTACTTACGAAATCCAATGGAACCACCAGATCTACACAAACCTAACTTGGTCTCTAAACAGTTCAAGAAAAGTAAGCACATCTGAACTTCAGTATCCCAAACACTGATATCTCGTATATCATGGATATTTCAAAGTGACTGGGAGGTCCCAACCACTTATTCTTATGAAGTATTTAATACTTGATATCTTGAATCCCGGATATCTCAAAGTTTTTCTTGGTCCCATTGAATTCGAGATATAGAGGTTTGACTGTTTACAATATTAATAGCTACATGTACTGGTACATAAATTGATATAAATAGCATCATTTAACGAGGCCCGATCTAGTTGAAAATTACGAAAACGGAATGATAAAAATTTTTAATTCTTGGAAATATACTTGTATGTCTTATGCTTAGAAAAATTAGGATGAAATTTTGTTACCTTGCCTTTATTGTAGTGAAATGGGGGCACTGTCAAGATATGGACCATTTTTCGTGTTTTTATACACAATTACATACTAAAACTCTTCAAAAAACAAAGAAATTTACAAATAAAAAAAAAAAACATGATGAAATTCTTTGTTTTTCACATATATCATGCAATTTTCATTCCTCTTATAAAAAATGAAAAGAAAATTGGCGGTAGCCTTTATTGCAATGAAAAGGGGACATGTCAAAACACAAAATTTAGATTTCTTCTATCCAACTACGTATTTTATAGGTCGCAATGGGTTTACATAACACCAACAAACGATTGCAATACTGTATTAGTTTCTAAAAAATAAATAATTCTTACATTATGAAATTATTTTCTCGCCATGCTTTATTTTTCTCTTAACACGCGACGTTGTTCTACGTGGAAAATAGGGGTAGAAGGGGGGGGGGGGGGTAAAGGCGACAAAATTGCGATTTTTACTAATATTATGTAATATGTGGAAAAATTAAATATTTCGGGGGTTCAATTTAAATGATTTATAGACTTATTTTATTTTTTAAAACTGAAGATAATCCAATCATATTTAAGTCCGCAATAAAAAGATTGTATAAACACTTCAACATGTTCAAAGAGAAAGACTAAAATCGTTTACATTTAGTTGCAGCGTTTGTTTTTTTAAACTCACAAATTGAAATAAAACAGGATAAAATTAATAAATCTGTACCAAAAAATTGATCCCTCAAAATTATTTAGGTCCCAAAGTTGTTAATTAATCTAAATATTTAAAAAAAAAATAGAAATGCCAGCTTTCAATGCATATTCTATAGAGCTACCAGGTAAGCAAGATCAGCGAAACAGTTTAGCGCAATTTGACGTCATTTTAATTGTGACGTTATTATGTTCAATTGTGACGGCAGTCAAGGGTATTGTGACGTGCCTGAGTCGACGCTGCGTTAAAACGTATGCGCAGATCAAGTAGATCGGGCCTCGTTAATACTCCATTATTAATGATGGATCATTTTGCCTCATTGTGTCTAAACTACAAGTTTAAAAGAAGTAAAGTAAGATTTAAAAGTTTTACCCTAAAAAAAATAATGTAGGCAGAAGAAGTAGACAGCATGATGTGAAAATATTCTGTTTTTTTTCCTCAGATCAGCTGACACAGAGCCTGAGTGCTAGACAGCAGTTCAGTTACTCTAAGTTTGTCAATGAAGTGGACCATGACCTTGCAGTGAGAAAATACCCCTCCACCTTACCCAAGTCTGTAGCTGTGGTGGGGGCCACTCCAAATCCTCGGATAGATGAGAAATCAGCTAATAATGCTGACGAGAGTCTTCTGATTGACTTCAGCGACGAGTCAGAGCTCTGTACTGCTCTGAAAAAGCCAGTACCCAATACACTGAGTTTATTTGACACACTAACATCATCTGATAATTGTGCACAGTTGGACCGACCATTGATCCAAGATTCAAATGCACCAATAGACCCGTTTGACACGCGGTTCTCATTAAGGTCCAACTATAGCATGAATCCCTCCCCAGTTCCCATAATCCCTCAGCCTGTGACTCAAAACAATGCAAACTCTACCGAAGTAGACAAACAAAACATTTTCACTCCATCGTTTTCTTTGCCATTACCTGAGAAAACTCACCCCAACAGACCACCAGAGTTGGCATCATTTGAGGCCAGGAGGAGTCAAATAGAGGAACAATTAGGCAGTAATCCCCTTCATCAGTGTCGAACTAACGAACTTAATGTGGGAACCTATGTCACAGGAAGTCAGGTTCATGTGGTGAACAATTTACACCAGGAGGACAAAAATGTGTATTCTAAAACGAACAAGAAAACTACTGATAAAGCTTTTGATTGGCTTAATGATGCAATGACTGGTTTTGGAGTTTCAAAGGAAAAACACTACAGCAATGTCGCACCATTATATGACGAGGTTCCTATTGAAGAGGAATCTAATTCTAAACAGGACATTTTACTCAAAACTAAAAACTCCTTGAGCTACAGTAGTCGGCCATTGTATGATGAGGTGCCAGACGAGACAAATACAAGTGTTGTTAACAATTTACAAACTTCATCTGTCTGCAGCAATGTTCCTGGGTCCTCATCTGGTGATAGACTACATAAGATTAATAATAACTCCCTCAACAAAAACAGTCGGCCATTGTATGATGAAGTACCAAATGAGGAAGAGAGTGATGTTAAAAACGTTACCATGCCAACCAATTCAAGTGCTAATCAAAATTATGCTCCGCCTAGTGCTACATCTGATGATGACTTTGACTTTTTCGATTCGGATTTTGATGATGAGGAGGAAGAAGAAGAAGAAACTGTTGTAGGAGCTACGGCCCGCCTCATGAAATCTGAAAACCTTGAAAAACCCCCTCCATTGCCCCCTAGAGATTATCTGTCAAACAGTTTAGATTCCCGGAGAGATGCTTTGAAAAAGAAAAATGAAAAAGCTAGAATCTTTCCTGTTCTTCAGGATGGTAAACAAATGAGCTCTACTCACTATTTTCTGATCCCACCAAAGGGATGTGATAATAATCGTACAAACACCGCTGCTGTACGCCCTTTCTCTGTGGACGGGAACCAGCTAGATCACAGGAAACAGAGACCACACACAATGTCTGAATATCAAAATATATCTGATGGTGAAACATCAAATTGTAAACAAATAAACAAAACTCAGTTGGAAAATGGCGATAGGTTGTCCTGGTCTGGAATGACAGGGATGAAACCCATCGGGAGAATATCCAACGATTTAGGCAAATCCAAATCTAATAACAGAACCGTACCCCGTTCTATCCCTAACTCTACCAAGTCTGTGGAACCCAATTTTATGTCATCATCTCCTAGGGATAAAGTACTGCTGGTGCAGAACAGTGTGATGGGAGTGACGGATGAAGAATGCCACGCGGCATTGTGTCAGACAGCCTGGGACGAAAAAGCGGCTATGAAATACTTGAAAACAGAGCAGCTCTTTCGACTTGGTCTGACTTCGCGCGAAGACTGTGAACGACTTTTAGAAGCGTTGAATTGGAATTTAGAGCTTGCCAGCTCAGTACTGCTGGATGAATTCCGAAGTAGGAAAAAATCGGTCGAGTCAACGGTTTAACATTGTGCCACAATATACCTTCATAGTCAGCCATCTTATTTATTGCCAGTCATGTTTAGTGGTTAGAAATTATATGAAGTCATTGTTTGTAATACATGTCATGTTTTTTTTTTATCTGAGCATGAGATAATATTTAAGAAATCAGGCCCTGGGATCATGATACATCTTAAGCTGAAGTCAAAATCGTTTTATTATACTTATTTAATAAATGTTTCGAAAGTTTAGCAGATCAAAATTAAAACATTCACAAAAGTCTTGTTATTTGCAAATTTCCTGATTAATTCAATAATAATAAATATTTTCCATGCGATTGAAAATTTAAAATTAAGTCCAGGTCTGTTTCATGATCCTGGAACCTGAATTTACATCACTCAGAAATTTTTTTTTAATATAATAGAACTTTTCCAGTTCATAGATTTTGTTATGTAATAAATATAGGGGAAATAATAAATTTACAGAAAAGGAAAATATATTTAACCAAGAAATGAAAGTTGAGTAAAAATTTTAAGATATACACATGCAGAAGTACATGTATTTTTATTATTTTTTTTTTTTAACTGAATACCAAAGATCCGGTTTTTGTACCCATATGTATTATTAATTGATATTTACTGACATTGAAATCTGGTTGATATGTCTTCATACCATTAAGTCCATTTGTTTTATGTCATCTATTTTTAGTTGTGCATTTTAATGATTTATTACGTACTTTCTTTTATTGAATGAATAAATCAAAAAAGTCACTGCAAACTGAGGGGTTTTTTTACCATTGTCTATACAAAGTGCATGTTACAAAGGCTGATTTTATCTGTTTATGCCAATTAGACTGCTGAATTATAAGATCATGAGTCACTCCAATGATCTATTACTATGGGTTCTTGTTTTCTGTATTTTTGATCAAATGATTATTCTTATCCTTCTCTATGATTGTGAGAGTAAGGGTTTTTAAAATATGAACATTATTAAAAAAATCCAGCTCAAATTTTGTAAACTTACAGTTACACTTTAAAATCTTAAAGTTTGTAAAATTTTAAACATTTTGAGTTTTCCTCTCTGGTTTAGCTGAACCAGTTTCATATTTGATGTAGCATCTGATGTTAAACAACTTTTGGATTTCTTGTTTTTTTCTTCATGCTTTTAAGTAAGAGGCAAAATGTTTGCATCATTATAATGAGGAGGTGAATAGTTTTGAGCAAAATTGTGGTCCTATGTCCATGTTGAAGGTTGTTTGATAAGTTGGAGTAAAATCAATCTAGACAAGTCACTAGCTTCATGAAATGCTGTCAATATAATGTTAATCATTGTCAGAAACCCACGGCTGATTATGCTTCGTTCCTCTCTCGGGTGATGGAGAGAGGAACAAAGCGTAATCAGTCGTGGGTTTCCGACAATGAATTTTAATTATGGTAGAAAGTTATAATTATGCAGAATTAAATTTTGGTTTTAGTCATAAGTTTTTTTTATAACGGGTCCCCTGGACCAGTAATTTATGCCATGTTGAGTTCAAATTCCAGGTGGGGTAAAGTTGTTCCTAGCTGAAGAAAGTTATGATCCTCAGATGACCTCTTGTAACCTTCAGTATTATGAATGTTTCTCTGTGTCACCAATCTTTTTTATCAACAGAACACCTCTATCTTCATATCTTACCACTGCTGCCCATGGTTCAATCACCTCTCAGCATCACCACACAAAGTTTGTAGAGCCATATTCATGAAGGATTGGTCTTTTATACTCCATGTTGTATATTTTTGCAAAAATAATTCTATTCAACCTTGTGAATGTGATATTGTTATGAAATGATATTATTATGAGGATGTATTTGTTGACAACTTCTGTTTAAGGACTTTGATAATTTCTGACATTTTTTTCGCTTAACTTCAAGTACAAGGCCAGTGAAAAGCTACTAATCAATGTGTAGACATACACAAAATACACATGTAATAAAATTGAAAATTTATGGACTAGCTATGTTTTCATTATGACGCTCATTGTATTGATTTTCTATATGATTATGTTTTAAAAAGATTCTTTGCACCAAAGAAATGCAGAAATATTAAAGTATAAACCCGCAAATAAATAATTTTTGGAGTGGTAAAGGGATTGCATTGCATTTCCTCGTGTGGACCTTGAATAATGCAGGGGGTGGATTACATGGAGGGGGGGAGTGCTTCAGAGTTATTTACTTTTTAAATTTAAAATACAGTTGTATCGTTTTAAGTTTATTATCTTGTCTCCCTCACAGTTATGAATTGTAGGAATCTTTAAAGTAGCTTAAATTTGAGAAAGTTGTTTTTCAGCAAAAAAAATAGCTGCAAAATACAAACCCAAGGTCAAAGATGAACAAGGCCTTTGTCTGTTTGTCACGGGGTTCTGTCATTCCAGAGGTATATCTCGGACAAGGTCACAAAGATGTCCCATTACTTGTTCATTTGTAACGAGAAACATAAATGGGGGGTTAAATTGGCTCTAAAGTAGGTTATAATCACTATATAATATAATATAATAAGAACGCAGTTCTTTGAAACATGGCCCATTATAAGAATTGATACTGTTTAATTTTCTGCGGTGTTTTTGTTTTGTTTTGTTTTGTTTTTTTTTGTTTTTCTGCAACAAGTGCCTGTGGTTTTTTGAGTTAATTCTACCAGTTACCATTACAAAATATTTGATGTATTCTTAATCAATAGCTCATTCTTAGCATGAAATTTTCGGGAACAGTGGTTAGAGGTTATGCCGTAGAGTCGCGGAGTAAGTAGGACGATTTTCTCCCTAGTTTGGACTTTATGTTCTAATTCGTTTCACTCAAACGAACATAAATTATTTACAATCAAAACAAGAGCACTTGTCTACATAGGAAATGGAAGCGCTTGCTTGCCAATATTTATTATACATTTACAAAAACAAAATATTCTCTACCCTGTACAAAATGCATTTTAACACAATGCTTTTATATGTCATCACTTCACTGATTAAAAACGTAATATAATGCATGTATGAACACAATTATGCTTCCCTCGCCGCCCAGGAAAAACCATTAAAAAACAACATCGATTTATGTTGAAAAAACTATGAAATTTAAGTCCGCAGCAATTGCGAGGTAAACAAAATGAATGGCGGACTCATTCTCACAAACTTATGTACGTATCATATATTATAATGTACAATTAATCGACTAGTTTAAGTAAAACCTATGCAGAATGAATGTAAGTTAGAACTATCTGTAAACACATTTCGACTATATGTAGCTAATATGTACCCTTACACAACAATCTTACATTCATATCAAATTTTACATAAAATTATCTAGAGCGACTAAGCAAATTGTTTCCCATCTTTGACAATTAATCTGTTGTGTACAAAACTATCAATTTTCTTGAAATGAAAACAATTACTTTCTTTATTAAACAAAATACTAGTAAAAGGTTGAAGTAAGTAAGAGGGTGGGTGGGTGGGTGTGAATGTCGCAAAGCAAAGTCTTCGAATGAGTTAAAATCGTGATTAAAGTGAATACCTGTTCATTTACAGGTATCGACCTTTAAATACTGTAGCTACTGTCGCTATTATTAGCACATAATAAACAAAAGCACGTGTTCCTAGTACATATGATAAATTAATTTCAATAGGGCGTGGCATTCTCGGCGCTACGTAATGGCGAATACTGGTAGATTCTCATTGGTTAAGAAATTAATAATATCAGGAACTTATAATTGTTGTTGACAACGATGAGACGACTTATGCCCCACCTCTGTGCCATGAGAGAACTTTTAACTGGCTATTTACTACACCCGTTGACATTCTGCCGCATTTCTATCATATGTATATTTCAACAGTGAAGGAAGCTGTGTAAATTTCAGAAGCTAATTAGGCAAGGTCGCGAATGCCACGCCATACTGTAAGTCCAAACTAAGCGTGTAATGGTCCTAGTTGATCGGATCATCCTTGGGTCGCGGGTTCGAATCCCACTGTGGGATGTCGCGACTGGTCCTTCCGATAAGACCATATAAACCGAGGTGTAAAAGTGGGTGCTGGCATAAAAAAGATCCCTCACTGCTCAATTACCGTAAGTGCAGAGTATAAGTCAAAATTTGTAGCCCTACAACGGGACGTGGTGGCGTCTCCATAAGAGTGAAAAATTCTCGAGAGGGATGTCAAACAATCAAATAAATTTTTGTGTATTGTAGAAATCTATTGTATCCCAAATTCTCAAAACATCGCGAAAAAACATTTTAAGGATATTATCGATCATTGAAATAGTGAAACATATGTGTGGAAATAACTACATGTATAATGAATTATGGCATTTTGTGTCAAATATGAACGCCCTTTCATATGTCAATGTCATTCAGAAGTTATCATCGAGGTTAATTTTTTTGATTAGGTCAGTCGTCAAGGTCAAGGGGTCAGAAATCATAAAATGATTGTAGATATCTTGTCACAGGAAATGCACAGGTCAAATATGAAATAAAGCCCTATCTCTTCTCTTTTAAAAGTTATGGCCAAGTTTAAGTCTTTCATTTTTTTTAAGTAGGTCAAACTTCAAGGTCAAGATCATGGGGTCAAAAATCATAGTGTATTTAGAAAGGTCTTGTCACAGGCAATACACAGGTCTAATATGAAAGCCCTATCTCTTCTCATTCAAAAATTATGACCGATTTTTAAGTTTTTGAAAAGTATGTCAAGCTTTAAGGTCAAGGTCAAGAGATCAAAAAATCATAGTGTATTTAGAAAGGGCTTGTCACGGGTAGAACATATGTTTAATTTGAAAGCCTTATCTCTTCTCATTCAAAAGTTAAGGTAAATTCAAAGTAATGTTTTTTTTTCAGTAGGTCAGACTGGTTAAGGTCAATGGGGTAAAAAATCATAGTGCATTTAGAAAGATCTTGTCACAGGTAATATTCCTGTATAATATGAAAACGCTATCTCTTCTCATTCAAAAGATTTGACCAACTTGAAGGTTAAAGTTTTGGTTACGGACGGACAGACGAATGAGATTTAATGTCCCCTCGCTTTCGCGACAATACAGTTTTCAAGCTCAAAAGTCCACTAAACAATACAAGCAGGAGCAGAGTGAAGACGGACATCTAACTTATCAAAGGTGGGATCAGGTGCCATGAAGGAGTGATGTCGTTTCATGTTATAATAAATAACTTACTGTTTAAATAATTCATTCATGAAAAACGAAATTCATTTTAAGAGTACAAGCAATAGAACTATTAAATACTTGTAAAATACGTGTGTTGCGAACGAAATTGTTTATATTTGATGATTAATTTTCCTTTTGCCGTCGGGTATCCCACAAAAATATTCAAATCAATTTAGATTTTGTTTAGATTAAATAAATAATAATAATTGAAAAAGAGGAATTAAAGCACGTATTGCAGGAATAGAATGAAATGTGTAGGAATAGAATGAAATTTTTATTCAAGAAAATTGGGCCCATATTGACTCAGAAATACATAATAAACACAGTTTTTTGTATTTTTTATGAAGAGAGAATTAGCCGTTAGCTCTAACAATACGTAGCTCTTGATTTTTAGTTTTATTTATTGGTCCCTTCATAGAAATGTGTTTTGAAACAACTTGGCGGTTTAATGTTTACCATTTGTATTTATATTTTTTTTTCTCCCTTTTTTCATTTTACACAGGAGGACAAGTATTCAATCAATATAGATCATTTTATTTTACTTACCTCTTGCTTTAGTGAAGTTTTGACGATTATTGAAGTTTGAAGAATATTGTTTGTTTCCGCGATTAATAGTGAATACGTGTAGTTAATTCTATAGATTCTTTAAGATAATCAAAACCGAGATCAAATGTGCTGATAAGACCACTTTTCTGCATAAAATGACACAATTATGCTAAGAGTCGATGAACGAGGATAAAACCACATAGATATAAAATACTTATATAATATATATTATTCGGAGCAGCATTTTTTGACGGAATGTATAATTATACGAAAACTTGGTCTGTCATGCAGCCCCGCGTGCAGGGCTGAGTGACGAATGACGCCGAGTGGCCGAGAAAAAGAGATTCCCCCGTGTCGAGTTACGGATTTATTGCCTTTTTATGAACTGCAATGTTGACCATAATGTGCTGTAATCGTCTTCAGTTTGGTACACTGTTTCTGCATTAATAATTTTGTTTGACACCTATTAATAGTACTGCTTCTGACACATTATGTAAGATGTGTGTACTAATTAAAAGTGCACCATGCTGTAATAGACATAAAGATTTCTCATACCGGTAAGCAGTATGTTCAAGATTTCTATGCCGTAATTAACATATGATGGACTGACCACTAACAAATCTTGCAGATATAAATGCTTTAATTCATTTTCCATGTACAGAGTGCATTTGCCAAGTATCTTACAAAATATAAACAGCCTCTGACATACATACATGTACTTACTTATCTCAACATGACAGATAATAAATAAAACACACATTTACACAGAGTGTAATTAATATCGCATTAGCCATATATTAATCTCTGACAGTAACATCTCGTTAATAAAATAGTAGTATTTCTGAAAAATACTCGAAGAACTTCTTTACAACAAATCAAAACACAAATATTAAAAGGGTAATTTTTAACGTACAAGAATGTTTTGTTCACTTTGTTCATGTGGATTTTTCTAAAATAAAATCTGCATAAAAGGATTGCAAAGCCGCTCTCTGGTATAACTCGTTCTTGTAAACCTTGCATACAAAACCTTGCATGTCCGTAAAGCATAACCAAGTAAATGTTTTTGATGATGATGATGATGATGACGATAATATGATGATGATGATATATATACAGTAAAACACGCTTATATCGAACACGCCTATATCGAAATGGCGCTGATAGCGATGTGATTTTCAAAGCATGTCTTTAACTTGATACAATGAATTACGCTGATAAAAAGCAAAACGACACTTGTTTTACTGTATATATAATTTACCTGTGCATATGGTTTATATTGTGAATGTAAAACCATTCAGATGTCGGGTGATACATGATATATATATGGAAATTTCAAATTAAAATACTGGTCTTGATTCTGCAAACTTCTGAAGTCTTTTCTTTTTCTTTCTTTTGACATCACACTCGTCAAGGTATTTCACTTACTGTAGTAACCTTTCAGCAGATTATGTTTCGATGTCGAAACGTCTACGTTTAATGCTTATTTACGCCTTCTCCAGAAGAGAGAAAATGGATTGAAAAAGTTTGACCTTCCGAAATTCATTCTAGAACTTCCCCAGCGGTTTCTTGAAGAAGATTGCGTGGCTCCTTCTCCCGCGGGCGCGGCTTCTCCACCGGACGCCCCCTCTCCCCCAGAAGAGCTGCTGGACCGTCTCCCTCCCCGGCTCATTCCGCCAAATCCCCCGCCCCAACCCCAGGCGTCCGTTGTCGGGTAGCCCCATGGGTCCAGTCCGGGAGATCCAAAACTGGACATGGCAGCAGTGAATGGATTAAACTCGGCCTGGGCCTCTGTTTATGAAAAAAGATAAAGCTGAGTTGATGTTCCTTAAAACACTATAAATGACACCTTTAAAAAATCATCTAAATCTGTACATGATGGAGTTAGCCATTTTATTATACTTATATGGTAATTTCACTGAAAAAAAATAAATTTAGATACATATGTATTATGTAGTTTGATCCAGTGCTGGATTTCCCTAGAAATTGTATGCGGAAATAATATCACAATTGAATGGTATTGACAGGATTACTGTCTAGAATTGACATAAACTTTGATATGTTGACATCCAGTACAAACGGGCCATGATAGACATTATTACTGAAAGTAGATCACAAGAAGGGCACGTATCTGATTATATACGAGGACATAAAATATTGATATAGAATACATTGAATGCATGCAGTCTATACAGCAATTCCTCCAAAAGCATAATATAAAAGCGAACCGAGTATAACTGTGTAAAACTGTTTGAAACTTCCTTCAAAGCAAAGTAATATGCCCCACAAATATATGATATTACCGTTTGAAAATTCCTTTAAAACAAAAAGATAAGACGGGTGCCATAAGATTTCTTGTATACTTGAAGTCATATTTTTGTTAAATGAATATAAACATGGCACTTTAACATAAGCATAATAATTGAAATACATTTTAATACCAGTACTCTTTTCTGTTCCCTACATGTCTGAAGCAATTAAAAGCATTATATATATACAACTGCACACATCATACCATATTCATATTCTGAAATGAAATCGCATTTATAAATAAATTTGCACTGAAAAAAAAAATCTCGATTATCTCCCCTTTATAAAACATGCGTTTTATTAAACGTTTGAATCTTTATGCTTTACTGAAAGCTTAAATTTTGATTTAATCTTATCTATGGTTATCGATGGTTTGAATAAATTGTTAAGTTTCAATGTGACAAACATGTAAGGATATAACAGAAAATGTTCTTATATGAAAATCGATGGCATTTTAAAACAAAAATTGATACCCCTCTTCACACTGCGCACGAGAGAGTTCTAATTTATGTATGCAGGTAAAATGATGTACCCTTAGTTCTACAATAGATATTTCAGCGTATTACAGATTTCGCAATCAAATGAAGCATTATTGTCATTTTATTTAGCTTAGTTAAATTTATGTACCTTATTTGCATACAACCCCCACCCCTTTTTAATGAAGTAAAGATGATTTCTGTTCACCAATACTTTAATTGTTGTCTTTGCGACTTTGAGAATTTTTTCTGTGTTTAAATGGTTGGTTTATTAGGTTGAAAAAATGAAATACAATGTACCTTTAAAGAAACTCATTATATGAAAACATTTTCGTTAGAGTATATTGTGTCCTTAATTGCAAAACATCTTGATTTTTATCCAAAGAAGAGAAAAGTATAAAAGAAAACCCAACCTTTAAAAAAGAAAAAAAAACAAAAACAAGACATTCAAACTGAAAAGAGCCGAAGACACAGCGTGTCGTGGAATGGCAAGTTTTCATACTTTAAAAATATGGTTATTACTACGTAAAAAAATGAGATTTACAAGGTTTTTATAAACAATTAAGCATATCTCCACAGCAAAGAGTTAATTTCAGGTTAATATTACCCCCCCCCCCACCCCCACCCCACCCACCCCTCTCTATAGTTTAATTGATCCTAGATTTATTAATGGTTTCACCTTGTGCCGCGTTGTCCATGGTGATTCTAGGAGATCTGATTTCGGTCCAATATGTTGTTCTGTTTGTCACCACCGTGGCTCTAAAATACAGAAGGTCTTATTAAACATTCTATAACTAAAAATTACTGCAATTGCATTATTATTTCGAATCACAGACACAAAATAATGGAGATTTATGTGAGATTCTAAGAAAACAACTATTGAATGCATACTTACATGAACTGAATCATATCGGCGGTCGAGTGGGTTGGTCCATACCATAGCAATGTTATGGAGTCCTTCCATCTGGAGTTGGAATGCGTTATGGCATCGTTGTTACCCGAACAGAACATAGGACGAGCTGCGTCATTTTCCGTGTACCACTGCCCCGTGGGCCAGTCCTTAGAACCCTCCTCACCAGCGACTATAAAAAATCCCTTGAATGGGGCACCACTTATTGTAACTACAATGATAAAGTTTACATCAAATGGGAGACTAAAATCCTAAAATTCTTACATCTTTATCATTTAAGTTGTGTTATACTTCTTTATTATACCTCTGCTGATTATTTCCTACATAAAAAAATTGGGAAATGTGAATAATTCACTAGAAATCACTGTGAATGGACTAATCCCCGTGTGTTAGTCAAATTAACTAATCCCTGCTTCGGAAACTAATTCCTCTCTAAATTTTTTTTTTATATCTTTATTTGTTTATCATTTAAGTTTGTGCGCTGCGCCTCGCGAAATAGCCCTGGCCTTGGAGAACTGGAATCTTGCTAACTCCCTCAATGATATACTATATATCATATATCATATATAACTGTATAATATAGATTTGCTTCAGAATTTCGTGATTCCTTTATAAAGAAGATCATACTCTCTTTGTTTCATGACTACAGCGCATAGAAAGGTACATAAACGACACAAGGTAATTCAAGAAGAGTATATAAATAATGTATGAATGCACAGATGAGCAATAATCGCACGCTTAAAAGCATGTTATATTTGCACGCTTACGTGGACCATAAACAATAAACTGGCCACTAAATGGAGAAAAGACATAACTGAAAATGGCTTGCGTAGGCTAGCAATGCGTCAACTTCGTGTTCAAGCAATTAACTAAAACAATGAATGTCAAAGCCGTTCGCCTTGTATGACCCCTGTGATTATTTATTTATTTTATCTAACAGGGATTTTTGTTTCATCAAAATATGCATGATAGATCTTGTAATTGTCAATGAAATTCCGAAATCAATCAAAGCTCAAAGCTTTGTTACCAAATGAATTTTCAGTCAACTGAAAAATTGACACAAGACCGAGTCAAAACGTGTCATAATTACATTAAAATATCAAAGAAATATCAAAGAAACCAGCTTCCAAATATGCATGAAGTATGGGATAGGCAGTAAAGTACAAAAAAACATGAACATAGAAGATATATATCTATGAAAATACTTCCAGGATTCTTCCAAACTTTTGTTTAATCCATTTTGAGAATAAAAATAATAAAACTGACTACTTTGATTTAAAATATATTTATTAAAATTAATGAAACTGACAGACTTTGGAATCTATACTTACCCCTTAATGGTTTGTTAGGCGTGTACGTGACTGCACTAACAGTGATATTATAAGGTGATCCTCCCATTTGTTTGAATATTGGCCTGTTAGACTGGGGATGAGTATGTCGGGGGATCATGAAAAAACACGCTCTCTCCGGAGCTCCATCGGGATATCCAACCGAAGTTTTAACCAAAAGAAAGCTCAGAACTAATCCAAAGAAACACATTTTAACTATTACACAAGCTTCCAGTCGCTACTCTTTCACACACAATAGGCTGGGACTGGACTGCAATAATACATTGACCATTAGTTATTATTTATTTGGACACTCGGACGAAACGGTTGTCACGTGTGCATCTTTGCATATACGTTATTCTCGTATAAGCCAATAGAATTTCTGAACTATCAGTATTTGTTTCATTGATACTTATGAAACACATAGAATTAGCCAATAGAATATATTATTAGTATTTGTTTCATTGATACTGCTACATGTGAAATATGCAGTTTTAGCCAATAGAATATCGAAACTACTGGCATTTGTATAAGTGTTACTATTATACATAATTATGCAGTTTGTGCGCACGTCTGTCCATTTTGCATAGTTCGTTATATTCAGCTTTTTCATATACGTATAATTTTGTTTTTAAAATAATAACAAGGATGAAATTATATGCATAATTTTACGTTTTGGTTAAAATACGAGATGATCGATTTCCAGAGTCTGGTACAGATCTAGAGTATTCCCTGAAAAACACAACATATATACATTGTACATATAATCAGTACTTGTATATTGGGGTTGAGATCAAAATACAACTGTACCAAAATAATCAAAATGCAATTTAAAGATCAAGAATTTTAATCCTAACATCATAATTTCTAAGTCTTAAAAGTCCAGTAATGTAGATATCGCAGATTTGAATTTAAATAATAGTTAATTTATCAATATAAACCGTCATCCATGGATAAAAGAAGAGACATTGACCAGCAAAAGCATTACTGGCGATGCCAATGAAAGATTTTTTTGTTAAATTTTTAGTTTGAAAAGGGTGTGTGTGTAGAAAGGATAAATCGCTAGTTTTGATTGTTATGTTGTTTGCACGTTAATTTTTAAATCCTTTTAAACAGACTACTATGGCATGTTTAACATTGCAATATTTGATCTTAGCAATTTTTATCGTTTTCCATTTGCACTCCACAATTTTTCGTTTGAATAGTTTATTATTATTTGTATTCAATAATTTTGATTACATATATATATATTAGAACAGACAAGTAAACAATGAATGTTTTAAACTAATGATTTCGTGTGGTATTATTTTTGCTGATTATACAAGTTCGAACACGAGAATAATTAATATAGAACAAGATACCAAAAGGCCCTGAAGGTCGTCGGAGTATAATAAAACTGCAGAAGAATAAAATAAAACAAAATTAATTGATAAATCAGCATATGCTTCCATACAAGTTTCAGTTTTTCTGCCCCAGTGGTTCTTGAAAACAGATTTAAAAATTGTTTTCCTTTATATTTGCAATTAAAAACTTGGATTTTCTACTGTATCCCCACCCAACGCTGAGGGGGGGTGGGGGGGGTGCATGACTTGAATAATTATGAATTTACACTACCACAGGATGCTTCCCTGTAAGTTTCATTTTTTTTTCTGACCCTGTGCTTCTTCACAAAATTTTAAATTTTTTTTTTTACTGTATATAAGAATAAATGTTAAAGAAATCCATATTGTGGCCCCATCCCACCCCAGGAGCCACAATTTGAACTCTACACTTCCTCATGATTCTTCCACATAAGTTTCAGCTTTTCTGGTCAAGTGGTTCTTGAAAGGGAGGATTTTATGTAATGAACCCATCCTATTTTTGTCTTTTCTTCATTATCTGCCCTTGAAAGGAGGCTTAGTCCTTCATTTTAACAATTTAAATTCCCCTTTAACCAAGGATGATTTGCACCGACGTAGTTTAAATTGGCCCAGGGGTTTTTAAAAATCTACACTACCCCAGGATGTTTCCACTTTTAAAAGTTTTAGATTTTCTGGCCCAATGGTTCTTGAGACAAAGATTTTTCCTACATATTTCAGTGTAAAACTTGGATTCCCTAATTGAAGCACCACCCTTTCCCAGGGGTCATGATTTGAACAATTTAAAATCTTCACTTCTCTTTGATGCTTCCATGTATGTTTCAGCTTTCCAGGCTCAGTGGTTATTGAAAAGAAGATTTTTTAATGATCCCACCCTATTTGGTATTTCCCCATTATCTCCCCTTGTAAAGGGTTTAGTCCTTCACTTTAACAAAAATGAAAATGTGAAAAGTTTACAGATGGATAGATGACTGACAATGGGGCAGAAAAGCTCATTTGAGCTTTCAGCTCAGTTGAGCTAAAAATGGCAAAATAGGGAAAGGAGCTGTGGCAATTCACTGCAACTTTTATGATACCTAGTCCATAAGAATTTTCAGAGTATAATTCTCCAACTAATCAGTAATGTGCACACTTGTTAATAAATGTTCTCTTCAGGTTGACACATGCCAAACCTCTTAAACAACAAGATTTAAAATAAATCAAATCTACTTTTTATTAGACTGCTAATAAAATGTATTTTAACAAAAACATACATATACATGTATTATCATGCTATCCACAACTTATACTGAAGGAGAATTTTACAGACCACATTAACAGGTGATAAATTGATGGTCTTACAGGGCAGCAATATAATTCTAAGGCAACATATAAAAGACAGATAAACACTAAATGACAAATAATACTTACATAGTATCTTGGAGGGTAGTTTTTTTTGGGAGGGTGGGTGGGGGTGGTGGGGGGTTATATGCTATATGTTTTTCAAATAAAGGGTTAATTTAAGGAAAAAAATCTCAGAAAAAAGAAATGTAAAATCTTTTAGCCATGAAAACAATTCAAACATATATACATATACATGTACCTTTGAACAATCATGCATCTTGTGTACTTGTGTATGTTGTGATCTCTTTAACCCCCCCCCCCCCCACCCACACACACAAACAAACACACAAACAAACAAATAATATAACCTACCAGGGTAATTTTAGAAAAAAGATCCTTATCTTAAATGTAAACCCACTGAAAAGCCCAAAGCCTCTGCCCTTCAACTCTTCCTCTAAATTTCCACTTTCCTTTTTAAAATATTATATTCCAAATTTAGATGTGCTTTTCATGCATTTGGCTTTTATAAACTTCTGTGGAACACCTTTATTGAAGGTCATATCTCACCCAATTGTATCAGTAACAATAATCTATAAAAACAAGATGAGTTTGTAAAACACTGATGCTCCTGTATGGACGCTTATGGCGAGGGTTGAATTCCCTCAAATGCATGTCAAACTCCAAAGGTCAAGGTCAAAAGGTCAGCAATGTTGGTACCCAAAGGAAGGTCTATTACAAGAAATACACCTGTGAAATATGAAAGCCCTAATTCTAATTGTTCAAAAGTTATGACCAAGGTTAATGTTTTTAAAAAGTGGGTCAAACTCTTAGGACAAGGTCAAAAATATTTATACCAGCTGATAGGTCTTGTTATTATAAATACACATATGAAACTGTTCAAAAGTTATGGCCAAGGTTAAAGTGTGGTACTTTTTTTTTGTAAAAGTAGGTCAAATGCCAAGGTCAAGATCAAGAGGTCAAATTTGGTGGTACCCCCCAAAAAAGGTCTTGTCACAAAGAATACACCTGATAAAAATGAAAGCCATAGCCTCATCCACTCAATATTTATGGGCTAGGTTAAAGTTGACAACAGACAGACAAAGAGACAAACAGATAAACAGACAGACAGGGCAAAAATAATATACCCCCAGGATCTTTTGATCTGGGGGCATAAAAATTTGGACAATAAAACACATTCATAATATAAACCAAAATAATCAAACAAATAAAAGAATGTTTGCTTTAAAAAACATGAATTTTAAAAGAAGTACACTTAAAAAGTAAGAATCTGCATTCCCCTAATAATATAGAAAAATCCAGAGAACATAACAAAATATTTTTGGTGTTAACCAAAAAAGTTTTTTCACAAGTATCACCGTCAGTGATAGAGTTCCAGTCCAAAAAGTAATTATAAGAATTCTCCATTTCAAAATATTTATTTCTAACATCCATCATTTGAAATAATAGTCTAATACAATTAAGTATATACTTTATCTCACATTATTTAATATTTTACTGCTAAAAAATGTTACACAATGGTAAGCAACACACAGTATATATATATACATGTACATCTACAAAACTAGAAATGCTTTAATATTATTTATAAAATATTCTGACATTTCAGCACCCCCAAGGACCTTAACATACAAAAAAATGAGAAAAAAAAAATTCAAACAGATTATGACAAAGCTTTAAGCTAGTTCCTTCAGATCAATTGAACAAAACACAGAGTTTATAAATTCTGCTTCTCTGTGAAATATAACTCTACGTTTCATAAAAAGCTCAGATATTTTATGTACACTACACAAAATACATCAGCAAACATGAAATATTAAAACTACTTACTATTCAGTGTATATAAAAAGAATTGTCATTTGAATTAATATGTTTACTACAGAAGATTCGTGGGTACTTGTACACAGCAGTGATAAAAAGCATACATTTATATGTAGACAATTTTTAAATGTACTTTATTTAATCACTTTACAAGTGCATCTTTATATGAATTTTTGGGGGGTCAATCTCTCACAAGGCTTAACACAAACCTGAACCTCAAAAGACAACAAGGAACATTATAGTTAGGTTTATCTTTTTTAAATTAAAATGATTTTTCTTCATTGCATTTTATCATAAATTAACCCCCAAAAAAGAAAGAGCAAAATGGGGGGAAATGGTATAAAGTCTCGTCTTATTTCACTTTAATTTTAAAAATATATTTATAGGTACCTTTCAGAGCTTTAATAGAGAATTCAAACTTAAGTACAAAATAATCTTATAGAAAGCAAAATTAATGCATAAAAAAAAAATTGTGAACCTTTCTTCAAACTCAACCAAAAGTTATATCATTTTAAAATTTCATTAAAATAAAAATCAACCTAGGTTTCTCAATTTTAATTCAGAAGGATATAAACTTTGAACTCCAGGTCTAGTTGTCCAAAGACTGATAAACAAAATTTGGTAATATTCACCAAGCAAAATGCGTAGACATTTAAGCTCTTTACAACCTTTATAAAACAAAATCATACATTTAAGCAACATTTTAAAATGAATTCAAAATGACTATGATCAAAAATATGATTGGTTGTTCAGTTTTGACTTTTGTTCTTTTTACATTTTACAAACAAAAACAAAACAGGACAATATGCACTACTTGAACATATATTTGTAAAATAATATACAACTTTCAAGTCTGAAACAGCATATTCAAACATGGTTAATACTTCATAAATCAGATCCATGACAATGCATAATGATCAGTTATAGTGCTGTCACTGTGAAAAATATAAAAGGGGAGGGGAGGGGGAAAATGAAAGATTGTACAAGAATAGTCTTTACTGGTGAAAAGCTGAATACACATCACTAGCTGGGATGTTTGGCAGTTCCACATTGGCTGATGTGACGATATTGTGAGAAATGACCTTGTGCTGTGGTTCTGTCTTCATGATCAATGAAAGGGGAGGCAAATCCTGTCTAGGCTCTTGTTCTCTAGCGGGAGAGTTAATGCCCTTGTACATGGACATCATGATATGGGGATCTTTTCTGGCTCCAGGGTTGGTGTAGTCCTCAGGGTACTCTTGCTGGGGGGTGCTGGATGTCACTAAATTATGTTGGTTTTCTGGGGCCTGTTTTTTTTGCCCTTTCTTAGCTTTTGTAGAGCCAAAAACATACACTGTATGAGCCTAAAGTGATGAATTAATACCAGAATTACTTAATGTTTTTTTTAAAGTATTTTTAAAAGTTTATGGGCATTTTTGACATCTTAAGAAAACAAATGCATTAATTTTAAATACAACAGAACTCTTAAGATTATTTTTACATATTTTAAAAGATATGTACTTATACAGCCTCTAACTTCTAAAAATATTCCAAAACTTTCTCAACACCAAACCTTTTGTTTATGGCAGTTCACTCCCCTTTGTGTGTGAAACTCCTGGAAGCATTCATCACATTTAAATGGCTTCTCACTCGGATCATGTGGCTTTGTTCCGTCTTTGCTGTGCATTCTCATATGATGCTGTAGATTGGCCATTTGTGCAAATGCTTTCTCACAGCCTTCCAGCTTACAGGCATAGGGCTTCTCCCCTGATTTAATAACACACAACATCAGAATTACTGGTAGTTGATTTCATTTTCTTACATTACATTGTATTATATGTGACATGATACCAATAGAAGAAAAAATTTAAAATTACTACTCATTTTATTAAAATTGAAAATTAAGATGTGTTTACAAAACATTGATGCCACAATATGGTAGGTCAAGGCCACAGTTGAATTTTTTTTTAAATGTACTGGTAGGTAAACCCCCAAGTTAAAAGGTCAAGAGTTAAAAAAATTGATACCCAAAGAACAATCCATCCTCGGAATGCCAGGGGTCATGAGTCAATACGTTGCCATTGGACCCCAGGATACTTCCACATAAGTTTCAGTTTTTCTGACCCCAGAGTTCTTGAGAAAAAGATTTTTAAAGATTTTTCCTATATATTTCAATATAAAGCTTGTTTACCTTATTGTGGCCCCGCCCTACCCTGAGGGTCACGATTTGGACAATTTAGAATCTATACTACCCCAAGATGCTTCCATTTAAGTTTTAGCTTTTCTGGCCCAGTGGTTCTTGAGAAGAAAATTTTTTAATGACCCGCCCTATTTTTGTCTTTCCTTGATTATCTCTCCTTGTAAGAGGACTTGGCCCATCATTTTAACAATTTCAACTCCCTTTTACCTAAAGATGCTTTGTACCAAGTTTGGTTAAAATTGACCCAGTGGTTCTTGAGAAATTGAAAATGTGAAGTTTAAAGATGGAAGGACAACAGACAACAGGTGATCAGGAAAGTCACTTAAGCTTTCAATACGTAATATCGCAATTACCTCATAGTTATCTAACTTACTACTGCTCTTTTGCAGAGGAGTTGAAAAAGCTATTAATCTCTGGGGCACATGACATTGTTTACAGTAGTGACAATCGAATGATTCGAACAATATTATGCCAAAAGTACAATGTATTGCCAAGGACTGAACTCCAAATAGTAGATTGTCAAATAAGAAAAATTTAGAACATTTTATCAGCTTTAAAATGTGACGATTTTCAATGAAAATTTAATGAGAAGAGTCCACTTAGTTAAAAATATCGTTAAAAATGTAACATTTTAGGATTGGGTCCTCTCAAAAATTGATTAGGGTGGTCCAGTGATTGTTAAGCAAGGTATTCTTCCAGGATTTTTTACTTATCTGTCTTTATAAATTCTACAATGATCAATCTTGTATTCAATATCGCATTTGCCCCCAGCCAACAGACGTTTCCTACCTCCATCGCTAAAGAGTTCCGCTAAGTTAAGTAATCGCGATATCAAGTATTCACATGAGATAAAAATGTGAAACATAAAAGCTTTCCAAAGTTATCTAAGGTTAAAGTTTGGTAAAAAATTTGCAAAAGTAGATCAAACTCCAAAGTTAAATCAAGATGTCAAATATGTTTGTACCTACAAATGAAAAATAAAAGCCCTCGCAACAACCATTTCAAGATTATGGGCAAGGTTAAAGATTTTGCATGCAGACAAACTTCTTTTTCACAGACAAACAGATGGACAGACACAAGACTATACACCCCCTGAATCCTATGATTACTCCTATAGGTACATAAAAATTATAAATCTCTTAAACTAGCATTTGTTGTGCATGGATGAGTTCTATATTTACACAATCCAAGTATCACTGATAGAACTTAAATCTCCCTGTGTGCAGCCTAACATGCTGCTGAAGATAACAGTAGATCAGAGTGTTTACCTGTGTGTATCCTAACCTATAGATTAGAGTGTTTACCTGTGTGTATCCTAACCTATAGATTAGAGTGTTTACCTGTGTGTATCCTAACCTATAGATTAGAGTGTTTACCTGTGTGCATCCTAACCTATAGATTAGAGTGTTTACCTGTGTGCATCCTAACCTATAGATTAGAGTGTTTACCTGTGTGTATCCTAAACTATAGATTAGAGTGTTTACCTGTGTGTATCCTACCTATAGATTAGAGTGTTTATCTGTGTGTATCCTAACCTATAGATTAGAGTGTTTACCTGTGTGTATCCTAACCTATAGATTAGAGTGTTTACCTGTGTGTATCCTAACCTATAGATTAGAGTGTTTATCTGTGTGTATCCTAACCTATAGATTAGAGTGTTTATCTGTGTGTATCCTAACCTATAGATTAGAGTGTTTACCTGTGTGTATCCTAACCTATAGATAAGAGTGTTTACCTGTGTGCATCCTAACCTATAGATTAGAGTGTTTATCTGTGTGTATCCTAACCTATAGATTAGAGTGTTTATCTGTGTGTATCCTAACCTATAGATTAGAGTGTTTACCTGTGTGTATCCTAACCTATAGATTAGAGTGTTTATCTGTGTGTATCCTAACCTATAGATTAGAGTGTTTATCTGTGTGTATCCTAACCTGTAGATTAGAGTGTTTACCTGTGTGTATCTTAACCTATAGATTAGAGTGTTTACCTGTGTGTATCCTAACCTATAGATTAGAGTGTTTACCTGTGTGTATCCTAACCTATAGATTAGAGTGTTTACCTGTGTGTATCCTAACCTATAGATTAGAGTGTTTACCTGTGTGTATCCTAACCTATAGATTAGAGTGTTTATCTGTGTGTATCCTAACCTATAGATTAGAGTGTTTATCTGTGTGTATCCTAACCTATAGATTAGAGTGTTTATCTGTGTGTATCCTAACCTATAGATTAGAGTGTTTATCTGTGTGTATCCTAACCTATAGATTAGAGTGTTTATCTGTGTGTATCCTAACCTATAGATTAGAGTGTTTACCTGTGTGTATCCTAACCTATAGATTAGAGTGTTTATCTGTGTGTATCCTAACCTATAGATTAGAGTGTTTATCTGTGTGTATCCTAACCTATAGATTAGAGTGTTTATCTGTGTGTATCCTAACCTATAGATTAGAGTGTTTATCTGTGTGTATCCTAACCTATAGATTAGAGTGTTTACCTGTGTGTATCCTAACCTATAGATTAGAGTGTTTACCTGTGTGTATCCTAACCTATAGATTAGAGTGTTTATCTGTGTGTATCCTAACCTATAGATTAGAGTGTTTATCTGTGTGTATCCTAACCTATAGATTAGAGTGTTTACCTGTGTGTATCCTAACCTATAGATTAGAGTGTTTATCTGTGTGCATCCTAACCTATAGATTAGAGTGTTTATCTGTGTGCATCCTAACCTATAGATTAGAGTGTTTATCTGTGTGCATCCTAACCTATAGATTAGAGTGTTTACCTGTGTGTATCCTAACCTATAGATTAGAGTGTTTATCTGTGTGTATCCTAACCTATAGATTAGAGTGTTTATCTGTGTGTATCCTAACCTATAGGTTAGAGTGTTTACCTGTGTGTATCCTAACCTATAGATTAGAGTGTTTATCTGTGTGTATCCTAACCTATAGATTAGAGTGTTTATCTGTGTGCACACTAACCTGTAGATTAGAGTGTTTATCTGTGTGTATCCTAACCTATAGATTAGAGTGTTTATCTGTGTGTATCCTAACCTATAGATTAGAGTGTTTACCTGTGTGTATCCTAACCTATAGATTAGAGTGTTTATCTGTGTGTATCCTAACCTATAGATTAGAGTGTTTATCTGTGTGCATCCTAACCTATAGATTAGAGTGTTTATCTGTGTGTATCCTAACCTATAGATTAGAGTGTTTATCTGTGTGCATCCTAACCTATAGATTAGAGTGTTTATCTGTGTGCATCCTAACCTATAGATTAGAGTGTTTACCTGTGTGCATCCTAACCTATAGATTAGAGTGTTTACCTGTATGCATCCTAACATGCTGCTGAAGATGGCTTAGCTGCTTGAAGGTCTTGTCACAGTAGGTACATTTGTGTTTCCGAATATTGCTATGTACCAGCATATGTTGTCCAAGCTGGGAGCTGTTCTGTAAAACAAAACAATTATAGCTATCACTTTGAATCTTTTTTTTTGACTCTTTGCAATAATAAAATGCAGCTTCCCCTGCCTAAATCTGGACAACTTCGGTAGAAAGTTATAATACTTCTGGGTAAGAGCAGGCTTTGTGTCAAGTCTGGGTTTGACATTCAATATTACTGGTATGAGAAGACTAATCATGGGTTTGCTACTTTCCATCATTTTTACTTGCCTCGGCCATAAACCCACAAGCACAGAACTAAGTTGAAAATTGAAGACGTTTTCTGGACTGTCAGTATGAGTATCAACAACTGAGTTTCAATCAGACTGTCAAAAAATGTGCGGCCAATTCTCTACTTAAAATTTTGGACCAAGGCAAGACTACTCTTTACACTTCTGAAACCTGTGACCTACTTGCAAAACCTGTGCCATGCTAGGTTGCATGTTAGGGTCAAGATATACTCTTGAGTCTGATGCAACCTATCCCTCAAGTAAGCTTCAAATGTTTCCCCATTTCTGTGTTGCTAAAATAATATTTCAATGATATTCTTCGACCATGGCCTGATTTTGTTATCTAAATAACCAATTTTTGGGGGGAATATATGACTAAATTAATCAACAAAGCTTTAAATATCAGTTTCTCATTTCTGAAAGAAGTTAAGTACCTGTATTAAAAGTTGAATACATACCTTGAACATTTTGTCACACTCTTTACAAATAGGAAGCCCGTATCTGTCAGTTGAGAGACGTCTTTGCTTGTTTGGTGAGGCTTCATCTTCATTCACTAAATTATATTCAATTCTAAATTTAAACTCAGTGTTACATAAATATGCAAGGAAAGAATTAAATACATGTACTCATAAAACAACAACTGTTAAAAAAATTAATCCCTTAAAAAAACTAACAAACAAAAATAACAAGGAAGAAAAATCAAAAGATCAATATTTTAAAACTATACGTATATTTTTTTCAATTGAAATTCCTAAAATAATGTATAAACATGATAAATATATTTTAGTCAAAAAACAATATACAGTAAAATTTGTCTAATCCGGACTCTGAGTACTCCGGACTTTTGTCCATTCCGTCCGTAAATTTTAGTCCCATGCACTTCTTTAACAAATTCATTTTAAAAAATTCTGTGTAGTCCGGATACTGTCTATTATGTATTCCGAACGGCCATACTGGTCCCTACTGCTCATAATTAAAGGTAATTATTCCCTCTAATCCGGCCACACCTGAGTTACTTCAAAGCAATTAACACCTTTCGTGGGGAATGTGATAATCTGTGTTTACATTGGCATGATTATTAGTGCAATGAGACGAACTCGGTGAAATGCGGCGGTGACACAGTCCACTTGAAAAATATATTATATGATTCAATTACAATTAAAAAAAAATTAACTTTGTTTTAACTCCCTTTACCACATAATAACATAAACACAAAAATATATGTACGCGATTTACAAATCAAAATATAAATCGGGATCGAAAATCGAACGCATTCAAAATGGCGCCATGACACTGTGGGGGTAGCCTAGGTCACGCAAGTCGTTTGACCCCCCACTCGTGTGAGACCATGCATCGATGCAACAAACGTGTAGGTGACCTAGACTACTGTGGGGGAAGACGTAAATTTTTACATAGAATTAAAAGTTCAATATAATAATTAGCAAATCGTAAATAATTGTGCATTACTGTCAATACATTGAATGAGGTCTTTGACAAGCGAAACCCGGTCCGCTTGATACTTAGTAGGCCTATATTATGCGTGCCTGTATATTTTGATTGAGGAAACATTTCACCCGACTTTCAAACTTCGTGAACAAATAAGAAAATATAGTCAGTCATGTGAGACTATTTTATAATTTCTAGACTCCAAAATAGTAATTGATTTCATCATTTGATTTATTTATGATATTTATATGATGTACTTGTAAATAAACAACGAAAATTTTCGAAATTGATATTTTCCTGCATTTTTCCTGCACTCCGGATTCTGTCTAATCCAACTGTTAAATTTTATGGAACAAAAATAACAAGCGGTAGCCGGATTGGACAAATTATACTGTACAAGATTTCCTTAAGTTTTTCAGGGACTACCATTGGTTACAAGAATGTAAAGGACAGATGGTCCTACTTTTAAGGGAAATTGGTCCTTTTTATACTTCTGAATTCAATGGACAGTAAATACATACATAAATATCAACAGTGTTCAATTTCTACAGTTTGAGAACATATGACTAGAACTTATAGCCATGGCATTATTTTTTGTGAAGTACCTCTATAAATGTAAACAAGTATATACTGACAAAACGTCAGAAATACTCAAGCTGTAGAAAGTCAATTAGGAAGTGTCATTAATATCCTAAAATGGTATAAGATGAGGGATATTGAGTTCAATCTTCTGTTGAATAAACTACATGTACATGAAACAAAATTCATATATTGAATTTAATTTATTAGAAGAAATATAATTAATCATACTACTTTTTAAGATGAATTTACATGACGCACTTTCAGGAATATTTTATTGAGCATAGTATCATTGCTGTTTCTTAATTTAATGAAATATTTCGTTATGTCGACATTTAGTTTACTTCAACTATATACGTTTTTTTTGTATTTTTTGCTTAATGACGTACATCACATTCAATACATCAATCTAAATAGCTTGTTACAAGCCTCAGTGTAGAAAAGTTTTCAAAGTGGAAAGGGGGGGGGGAGCTCCGGGCTCCAAAAAATCCACGCGACTACAGGTTCACCAATCGTTGTAAACCACGGACAAAATGTACGATCCTCACCTACTCCGAACCGTGGCTTGAGACGATGTGGTTCATCTAGCTGCACATATTCCATACGAATCCAAAAGAAATTATTTAATATGTTCCGTTACGAAAGCTGAAGATAATACGAGAATTTAACATTGATTTTGATCTATTACTTTACTGTCACTCAATGTACACATCATTTGCAGGCCCTTGAAAAGCAATTTCAGTTGGGGGGTACGGCCACACATTTTCTGGCCATGCATTGTAGAATTTGTTAATGATGTGGTAACCTGCGTCACCTTTCAGAGTCTGCAGTGGACTCGTCCAAGGATGCTTTGTAAAAAATTCTTTACATGCATTACATATAATTCAAAATCTGATTAACTCAACCCCTTTCTATAACAAAATGAAAAACTTACCTCCCTGATTATGAATTCTGTTGGCGTTATCATTCTGTGTGTTTATTTGTTGACTGTGAAGCCTGCCTCCATCGCTCTCCGAGAGTGAGTGTATCTGGAGCCCAGGATTGTCTGTCTGTCTGTGAATCTGACTTCTAAGTACATCAGGGGAGGACATCCTGTCTTATCAGATCAGGCATTTAAATGGCAATGGTCAAGATCTCTAAAATAATGGGAAAAAAAGTTCTAGAGGTCAAATTACATTAAAAATGTAAAACTATTATCTGAACTGAATTTAAAATCATGCAATTAAAGGAATGTATGTTTGTTCTGTTTGACAAAGCATTCACCCTTGGCACCATTTGCCAAATTCACTCAGATCCTGTTTGCTTTAAAACTTGTTCACCAAAAGTCAGTTTTCCCATAATACAACAGCTGTAAAAGTGTGTAAGTCAATTCAAAATTCAAAATTTCAACATTTTTCTGATTGTTTTCTGTGTGATAACTCTGTAAGTGAGTTGATTTCTTGATATAAATTAAACCTGAAAGCAAATTTCACCAAGTGAAAAGTTAAGTGCCTGATATGTATGTTTTGTGGGTCTGTCTTTGTGTCTGACATTAGTGTGCGGGGACTATTGATATCGACATGGGAGGCTTCATGTATTTTAAATCTACTGTAGAAGCACAAATTTTTGTGGGGATAAAATATATTGTTATACCTTTAAAAAATTGTTCCTATACAAATCTATACAGAAAAAGTCTAACATTTTTAATGTTTTGCTGAGCGGGCATAGAAAAATCGATGTTGGACCGCTGAGTGAGATGTTGGACCGCTAGGAGAGATGTTGGACCGCTTACGTCACAGAATGGGCGGAGCTTAATCTCATTTTCATTCTTTGGTTTTAAACAGTGACAGATCTTATGTTACATTAGGGAATATAGTACAAAATACATATATGTCAAAAAATATATAATAAAATGAAAGGTATAACAAAACATTTATTGACAGAGTTCTCGGGCAAAATGCATTTTGTCGGACCCTCGAACCAAACTGTCTGCCTTCGGCATAACGGCCTCAGGCAGACAGTTTGGTTCTTTGGTCCGACAAAACGCATGTTGCCCTCGAACTCAGTCAATAAATGTTTATTGTTGACTTACAATATTTACAATAGCCTGAATAGGGCAATCAAGATATAATATAGCAAACAAGGCACAAGGCGAATAATAAAAAGATCCTGTATAAGGAGCGCTCATTTGAACAGGGCAGGTAGTAGGTACACACATGTAGATGGGACGAACAGAACTGATACCCAATGAAAGCAGTCATAATGTAAAACTACATGTGTTGGTTCACAACTATAAGAAAGTAAGTGTAAATTTTGACATGACATGTTTATGAAATATATTAATGCCTATCATGGCCCATTAGTTGGATCTAATGCCTTGTGTCTTTGAAATGGAAATGGAATTAAATTATCTCCAGTTACATCCACACAACATAAATGATTTAATCTACAAAATAATATTGCATTTTGATTATTACTCATAACTGTACTGCAAAACAAAGATTTTCTAAATACAAATTCATACAAAATTCAGTAGGTACTGTTGACATGGTTGAGGAAAGATGCATATTGCTTATGATGCTACTCAGTACTGAAAAACATGACATTAGTCCCTGAACAACTTACAAAATATGATGAATATGGACAGTACTTTAACACCCCTAATAGATCAGGACTTTGAAGCCATTTATATTTTTTCTGTAAACAATATTACCGAAAAAATATTCCCACAATATGGTGACTCTAAATGCAATCAGCAATACTCTTGTACCACGATTTCAAAATTACCCATGTTTGGGGATAATCATATTAAATTTGAATAATGAAAAGCGTATTATGCTGTTGAATTTTTATTTGTTCATTAATTTTTTAAATTTTTATTTCCCCTACAACTTTTTAAAAAATAGTTTTATTAATTTTTAAAAATATGCTCGGGATCGAGGTTCCATTTTTGGTTGATCTAACCCGGTCCATTTATCTGTTTATTATAAGAACATATTTTATTGTTTACCACAAAGGGATCAAAGAAAAAGAATTATATGTAATTTAAAGCTATGTTTATGAAATACTAAATACAGTGGCTGTTGTTGTGTAAAACAGAATACTGAAAAGATCATTTTAACAAATTTTGGATGATGAATTCCGATTTTCTTGAATTAAATAGAATAATGTACCGCCTACCCTTCTGATCTCAATCTCATGGAATTAACACAATATATATAGTTCCGAAAAATTTTAGGTTTGCAAATTTGTCACCAACAAAACACCACATATTATTCAATCGTGTGATCTTCTTGTGTTTTATATGGTTTGATTGAATATCAAAACATATCAATCAATTCTAATTATGCAACTTTAATTGTACACTTTTCAAGCGGGGGTTATAACAGAGACATTATTAACTTTTATTGTTTTTATTTTTTTTTCATGTATCACGAAATGAATATAACCTTCCACTGTTATAACCAGAGACATAAATAACATTTCAAATTGAATAGGGGATATCGCTCCTTTAAATAGTTGATATCACCGATTTGAATAATTGATATCACATTGGTACGATTCTCAATTGGATCATTGATACAATCGTTGACATTCGCCGGAATGTATATTTCAATAGTGAATGAAAGGCTGTGTATATTTCAGACGCAGCCACGCTAATTACTCTAGTGTATGGAACGTCGAGAATACCACGCCTTCCTGAAAGTCCAAGGTTAACTGAGAATTGTTCTATGACAGTGAATACCAAAACGGCGCTTTTTAGTTTTTTTTTTTTTTTTTTTTTTTTTTAAATAATAAAATACATATCTTGAAATCGTTTATTTAATTTAGGTATTCCGTTCCTCAGCCAGGAAGGATACCTCTTAACTTATCAATAAATTCAAAAGTCTTAAAATGAAGTTTGAAAATTAAATCTTTTCATGTGTACAATTTTCATTTTATGCCTCATTGTGCTTCAAGGTTCTCTGAAGTTCTCAGAAAGATCTTTTCAAAATTGAAATTTTACCCCATAAAAATATTTTAAAATTATATATCAAATGAAACTAAAGTTCTTATGTATGGAATGCCATATACGACAGCCAACTGCTTACTGCCAACTTCTGACAGCTTACTGCCTACTGTCAGCTGCTTACTGCCAACTGACACACACATTTGAATAAATTTTCATATTTATATTGATATTTATGTGAATTTTCAAATAACCAGACACGGATCTAGGATTTTTTTCCAAGAGGGTCACCCTAGCAAAAAAAAAAAAAAAATCCAACCCAGAAATATTTTGACCAGAAAAAACACCGGTATGTGAAATTTTTCATACCAACTTAACACGGATCCACGTTTTCAGGGGATGGGGGTCAAGGTCACTTTTAGTTGGTTTAGTTTTTACATTAAATACATGTTCTTTTACAAATTCAAAAGGGGCGGAGTCGCCCCCTCTCTTTCTCTAGATCTGTGTACATGTAAACCATAACTTATTTGTAAAAAACAGAGATATAAATCTTTAATCTGAGAAAAATTTTAACTTAAAGAATAAACAGAAAATTTATTTTTCGCAATATCTCGCCTGCGAAACAGCAACAAATCCTTATTAAGTCTTTATTCTCCAAAGGCTTTTTGTCTCTGGGAGGATGTTAAAGATTAAAAACCAATTGCTAATAAGGTAACAAATAAAATAAAATGACTATATTCTGTTCTTAAATCCTATAAACGACATTCAACAGCTTACTGCCAACTGCTCACTGCTTACTGCTGTCGTATATGGAATTCCATACTTTTGATATAACCATAGATACTAAAGTTTATTAACATGAAATGAAATTAAAAGTTATTTATATGTATAGTGTTTTGAAATGATAGGCAAATCAGGCGCGGATCCAGAAATTTTTTCCGGGGGGGTACACCTCTGTCAAAAAAAAAATCCTATCCCAGAAATTTCTTGACAAGCAAAAAAAAAAAAGGTAAACTCGTCCAAACGTCAAAAACCTATTTCGTGGGGGGGGGGGGTAGTTTTTACTTCTATTGCCTCAAATCTTTAAACTTTTCATACCCATTTTACACATATTCGTGTTTACCAGGGGAGGTCTGCGTTTTCCAGGGGGGTCCATGGTTACTTTTTCCTTGTTTTAGTATATACATTTTTTTAACTGGTAAATTCCAGGGGGGGTCCTGACCCCCCCGACCCCCCCCCCCCCCTCTAGATCCGCGCATGCAAATTTTCATACACTATGCACTGTATTTTTAAAGATCGAAGTAAATAGAAGAAACTTAAGTACATTATATGTATAAAAATTGTTCACTTTCTTCAAAAGCCTGGATACCTATGATTTTTATTTCCAAGATCTGTTTGTTGATCTTTGAATTGGAAAATACATAACTATCAGCAGAAAATGTTTTCTTTCCATTTCCTTGAAATTTGTTTGAATTTTGAGGAACGGAATACCATAGGGGTGGGTTGGGGTGGGAGCTTAGCTCTCCCCCACATTTTTTTTTGCCCAAAAAAAAATATATACATTCAATTAATGCTTGAATTTGCGTAATTTCTGGCACAAAAATTGTGGAGGGAGCTAGCTTCCAAATCAAGATATTGAATAAAACTACAGGAAAAGATTATTCTCAGAAAAAGTGATCGAGCCCCCTCCATCTGCATACTAAGAGAACATTTTAAACCTTTCTCTTCATTGATTAGAAATATTTTATGCATACTTCTAAAAGTTATTACTTCTGAAGATGGTCCAAAAATTGTAAAGCTACAGTGCGCCATATTTTTTTTTTTTGCGTGTTACTTGTGATTGGTCGGAGCCCTTAGCCGGGATTGGATAGGTACGTGGCGGAAATCAAGTATACGCGAAAATCTACAGATCTAGCGAGCAGAATGGACAGAGATTTTTCATTTTATAGAATTATTAGACATTTAAAAATCTATATTACAGAAATCTCTCTCTCTCTCTTTACAAAATAAAGGGGTGGTTTCAACCCCGACCCCCCCCCCTCTTGATCCGCCAGTAAGTGTAGAGCCCCCTTTAAACAGGCACGTTACAGTTTAGGTCAAGAAAGCGTAAGTGGTAGTGTTTGGAGAGAAAAAAATGGTACTGAAAAAAGTTAGATCCTACCCCCCCTCCACGAAATATGATTTAGTATAGGGACAATGGGCATATTTTCCATTTTTAGCCGGGCTTATTGCTCAGAGAGCAATTGCCGGCTTATGTGATCCTGTTCAAGGCAGGATGTTGACCCCATAGTCGCCATTTTAAAGTTACGTGCAAAAATATAGTTCTTACTCTCAACCGCTTTTGAGATAATACAAACGCTAAATAAAGCAACAAAAATAAAACGAAGTTTTAGCAGTAATGACTTTGAAAACTTCATAAGTCAAAGAACATAGTTCATTAGCGTAAGGATTTTTGATAATCAGTGTTACCGTAGTTCTCTACACATACGAGGTAAAGCAGGAGAGGGAACCAGACTGGCCTGTTTGTTTACATTCAGCTGCGGTACCAGATTAATTCTGATTCTGACAAAGTCGGACCCGTGGTATTAGGATTGAAAAACTCACTGTCAGTGTCTTAATAAGTTATCATTTATATTGATAGTTGTAAAATATTTTTTTCATCAGAATATAAACGTGATTCATGTAAGAAATCCATTCTACTCTGTAAATGAGCCCGGCTCTCTGTACTTCTGAGTACTTTGATTTTTTTGGTTGGTTTGAATTTTTTTCTTTCACTTAGACATACCGTCCCGTTACCGCCCCACCCACCCCCTTTCAATATGCTTCCGAAGCCGATGAGTACTTATACAAAACTTGTTAATTAAAAATTGCTCTTATTTATCAACTTTTCATAGAAAAGAATTTTTCTAATATTTTATTATCTTTATAAAACATTTCTCGAAAACCTTTCCATTAAGAAAAAAAACCAATCGGGTCGGAATTCATTGTTATTGTTTACACTTCCTGCTTCCTGTTTGACGTGTTACTGTTGAGTGCCAAGTATCTCAACATTTTGAGAGAGAAAATACAAAGAAGGTAACGTTATCTGTCAGAAACATTTAATACAGTAAGAGATCAAAGGAAAACAGAGAGACTATAAGTTACAGAGCTGTCAGGTTCACACCTGCAAGATCATCAACATGTGAATTAATTAAGGGTTTGATTGGATTTACTTCCGGGATAATTTTGTAAAACTGTTGATATATGTAGTAAAAACTTCTATTCTATATTTGGATGCATTATTCTTTTCTCAAGATGATGACACTATTCTAATATCCTACATTAGCGAGGTGGAAAACATCACTTTGGCACTTAGTGGCGTAGCATCGTTTTTGAAAGTGTGGGGGCCAGCCAAAGGAAAAAAAATACTTACCTGAAAAAGTTGACATGCAAAAAAAAAAAAGGAAAAAGTTGCCCAAAGTCGAAAGGGGGGGGGGGGGGGGGGGGGGCAAGCAAGCTTTCAATTAACATTTCCTATAGTATAAGTAACGTTGGGTAAAAAAGTGGGGGCCCCCTCCCCCCCTCTCCCCGTTGCTACGCCCCTGTGCATTCTTGGGTCGATTTCCGATACATGCATCGCTAAAAATTAATTGCATTTTTTGGATAATTGCTTCTTTCGTAAGCTTTTAGTACTTCTCACATAAAATAGAATACCAATTTTAAAGGACAAATCACTAAATTTGCATCTCAATAAAATTTCCACTCATACGGTAAATGAGACTTGGTAAATGTGGGAAAAAAAGTTGTATAAGACTTCTTACAAATGGAAAAGTCGCCCGCTTGGGCAGTGGTAAGAGCGTCTGCTCTAGAGTCATGAAGTAAGGAGTTGATCCTTACTTCAAGGGTTTGAATCCAACTGTGGGATACAGAGACATGTCCAGATGAGACTGTATAAAACTGGGTTCTAGGGTTGGGCAATAATATCGATATTTCAATATATTGTGATACAATGACAAAAAATTTCGTATTGCAATACGATTTTGTAATATCGATATATTAGCAATATGCTTACATTAAGGAATTTTGTCATTAAATATAAAAATGAACGTTTGTATATAAGCCAAACAGTAAGGCAGAAGTTATTTTGTGGGACCATTTCAGAGCATAACTTAAATGAAATCAACAAGATTTTTTTTCGTGTTGGTTACTTATCATGGTTATGTACATTCTGCACTTAAATTAAAGGAAATATAGTAAGAAAATGCCATTTGAATTACATTGAAAATATTGCAATACATATCGCAATACAGTTAAAAATATCGCAATATATCGCAATACGAAATTACTTGCCAATACCCAGCCCTGCGGGGTTCTGTGTCATAAAGCGAGGTCCTGTGTTGCAGTAGGTGCTGACACGAAAAAGATACCTCACTGCTAAAAATTTATAGCTCTCCTGTCTCCAATTAAGAAATAAAATATCATTTTTAGAGTTTCATTTGGGTATGACATGAAGTGGGTCACTTAATCAAATTCTTATAGTAAATTTGATCACGTATCGACTTCATGTCATACCAAATAAAACTCTAAAAATAATAATTTTATTTCTTATATTTATATTTTACTTTTTTAGTTGTGTTACAAAGAAATATAGACTTTGCTTTGGAAATGCAACTTAACGTTTCTGCGACGTCATTCAACATCACAATCGGAAGTTTTCAAATGGCTCGTGCAGCCTGCTTTCCATACTCAAGAAAATCTGATCATGTGACCAACTTCATGTCATTGAAAATTGAATTTCAATTTTATTAGCATTGTTATATCAGAAATTACATCAGCAAATGTAAATATTTACCTTTGAAGCTTGCCTGAGCTGAGCATAGGCGCTTGGGTCAAGGATACTGTATTTTTTCTATATAATGTATTGTCGGGGAAATTCGAACTATACTCGTAACATTTTTTTTCAGTGTGCAGTGTTAATTTTTAGTTTTTTGTAAACCTTTCTGCTTCATATACACTAGGATGTCACGGAAAATCGATTTTATGCAGGCTTTAGAAATGACATATCCCACTGTACACTAAAAAGAAACTTTCTTTTTAGTATACAGTGGGATATGTCATTTCTAAAGCCTGCATAAAATCGATTTTCCGTGACATTCTAGTGTATATGAAGCAGAAAGGTTTACAAAAAACTAAAAATTAACACTGCACACTGAAAAAAAATGTTACGAGTATAGTTCGAATTTCCCCGACAATACATTATATAGAAAAAATACAGTATCCTTGACCCAAGCGCCTATGGAGCTGAGGCTCAAACAAGCTTTCTTAAACAAAATTTGTCTTCATTGTTGTTAGAGTTTCGATTGTTGTAATTTTTTTCATATTTTCTTCTTCTCCTGAATCACTTGGCCAATTTCAGCTAAATTGTTGCATAGTATCCTCACATAATTCGAATGTCAGATTTTTTTTTTAATTGAAGGGTCGCATTCTTTTACAAGGAAAGATAATTAAGGAATTTTATTAAGGAGTTATTTAACATGTTTGAAGAAATTCAAGAACCATTATGGCAGAAATGATGAGCTTGTGTGAAAGCTTCCTGACAAAGGGGACATTCATATGTGGGCAAATCCTCCTCCCCTTGGGGTTTTGTTAGACCACCACTGATAATTAATGTATTATCTGGGAATATATAGGGAAAAATCTTTGAAAATCTTCTCTAGAATATCACTGATATCATTTCATATTTATATGAAAGCATTCTCCGGTAATGTAGATTCAGATTTATTCAAATCATGACACCTGGGAAGTAGGATGGGGCCACAATTTGTCATCTCATTTTCCATAGGAATTGATAGGGGAAAACGGAAGGGTCACTTAGTGACTCAGGTAAGTGTTGTGGCCCACAGGCCTCTTGTTTAATGTTTTTAGCTCATCTGAGCCGAAGGCTCAAGTGAGCTTTTCTGATCACATTTTGTCCGTCGTCCGTTCGTCTAACTGTCCGTCCGGTAGTAAACTTTTCACATTTTCAAGAACTTTTCAAGAACCACGAGGCCAATTTTCACCAAACTTGACACAAAGCATCCTTAAGTTAAGGGGAATATAAATTCTTAAAATGAAGGGCCAGGTCCTTTCACAAGGGGAGATGATCAAGAAAAGACAAAAATAGGATGGGGTCATTCAAAAATCTTCTTCTCAAGAACCACTTGGCCAAAAAAGCTGAAACTTATGTGGAAGCATCGATATCCTGGGGTAGTGTATTAATACTAAATTTTTCAAATCATGACCCCCGGGGGCTAGACAGGGCCGTAATTGGGAATCAAAGTTTTACATAGAAATATCTAAAAAAAAAAAAAAATTAAAAATCTTCTTCTCAAGAACCAATGGGCCAGAATTGTTGAAACTTATGTGGAAGCATCCTGGGGTAGTGTAGATTCTAAATTGTTCAAATCATGGCCCCCCGGGGGTTGGACAGGGCCACAATGGGGAATCAAGTTTTACATAGAAATATATAGGGGAAAACTTTCAATTTTTCTTTTTAAGAATTACTTGGCCAGAAAACCTGAAATTCATGTGGAAGCATCCTGGGAATGTGTAGAAAGAATGGAGGCGTACAAAGCGAGGAAATCCCCTGCTCTAAAAAAAAAAACAACACATTTCTCAATTCTAAAAGTTAAATATATATATATATTTGTTAAAAAATTAATTGGTTTATATCATCTTTTACTCATCAAATTCTGTATTTCATTGTTTTAATAATTTATTAATAATTTATTTTTTACTCATTTCTCAAGACATATTATGACCCGTGGGGTACGATGGGGGTACAATAGGTATTACAAGGGTGAAATCTAGTTAAGGATAGCATGGTAAAAGCTTCTTAGGTGAGCGATGTGGCCCATGTTTAAAATTTATTGTTTTAGGAGGTAGAATAGAAGTACACAGAGGAACATGGCCATCACAGACTGTGTATGGATTTTGTTGATGATTACTGTCCATTTGGTCGATGTCTCACTCTCGGACTGTAAATTTCCCGTACACAAAACAGACCGAGATCTGCAGAAACGCATACAACCACTAGTGGGAAAAACGTAAGTAGTTTAAGGAACAAAATCATTTTTGTTTTGCCTGTAGGGTAGAGCAACACTGGGTGTTGCTAAAACGCGGAACGGAAAACAAAATAAGTTGATTTATTCATGTTCACCCTTTTTTATTGACAAACAAGTTGATAAAACAAGAATATCTGCAGTCTCGTTTAACTAAAGACATCATCTCGTAAGTTCTATGTTCGAAACAATCACCATGTCAGCAAATAAAATTTATCATTGAGTCAAATGCTGACTGACGTTTTTCATACTTATTGTTAGTTTATTTTTTTATACACTGAAATGACGACGGATTTTCCCGTTTTTCCCGATCATGACAAGGAGCATGCGGTTATCTCCATAACATTCATTCGTGAAATTTACTGACGTGGCAGTGACATAGAATTAAATTTGTCAGTGTGTGTGTGTGTGGGGGGGGATAAACTTATCTGAAAAGAATTTTACAAGCGAAAAAAATCCCACAAATATATGATTCGGGAGGGGGAATCAATTCCCACTCCAATGTTATTCAATATTTTTATACACTTTCTTACTACTTTGATTAACAAATTGTGGAGGTTTCAATAAACATTTCTAAAGTAAGAAAAACATTATGCCTGGAAAGGGGAGGGATATTTGATATCAAACTCTTTTCAAGTAAGTTCCCCCCCCCCCACTTTCATATTCGATTCTACGCGTGACTGCTATGTCAGCGATTTTCGTGAAAAAGAGACCGAACATTACTTAACAACCTGTTTTTAATAATAGGAGATTTAATATGAATAAAATATATCGTTTATAATAAAAATTGTTTATTTTAAGACTGCGGAACATTAACTGGCAAAATTGGAAATATACAGCTTACGTCATTTCTATCTGTTACAATAAAAACATTCAGTGATAGACAACGAAATGGGCAAGTACAATTCGACGCGGACGTTTGGAAAACATCGGATTGAAATTGCAGATCGAAATTTATTTTCAATCCACCTGAGCTGTTTTCAAAGCAAAGAGTGAATGTATGATCTAAAAATCAACTATTTCAACTCCCAAATACATATTGTTTGAAGTTCACATTAATATGAGTTTTAGCATATAATCTTAAGAACGCGAAAGATCATACATACAAGACAAAGATTATTTTTCAGGAGATATTTGATTCTAGGAGGGGGGGGGGGGGGGGGGCGTAAAAATTGTTGAGTCAGGTCATGACATATATTATTTCTAGGATTATAAGAGTGCATGAGTTTTATTCTCACTTATTCTCACTGAAAACTGTTGGACAACTTTATTTAAAAATCGTTCACCCCCCCCCCCAACAAAAAATATTTGTCCCTTAAATGTTTATTCTTTTAAAACATTGGACAAAAAATAAATTCAAACTGTACCAAAATTGAAATTATTTGTCTTCTGGGTCAATCAGTAATTTAATGTGCCTTCTAGCGTACTGAGGTGGATTGAAAATGAATTTCGATCTGCAATTTCAATCCGATGTTTTCCAAACGTCCGCGTCGAATTGTACCCGCCCATTTCATTGTCTATCACTGAATGTTTTGATTGTAACAGATAGAAATGACGTAAGCTGTATATTTTCTTAAGTGATTTAATATAAAATTATATGTTCCGTTTTCCGTTCCGTTTCGCTTTCCGTTCCGTTTTCCGTTCCGCGTTTTAGCAACACCCAGCAACACTTGGGGATCACTTTAACTGGTTTCTGTCTGTTTGTTTGTCTAGCTGTCCCTCTGTCACACCTTATATTTTGCAAATTAATTTTTTGGCACTGTGGCTTTACCATAAATGCCGATCTTTAAATTATAAAAATCATGACCCCTTAGGGTTAGGGCGTGGCGACAATAGGAAATCCAAGTTTTACATAGAAATATATAGGAAAAATCTTTCAAAATCTTCTTCTCAAGAACCAGAGGGCCAGTAAAGCTGAAAATAAGATGGAAGCATTCTGGGGTAGTGAAGAACTTAAATTGTAAAAAATCATGACCCCTGGGGGTAGGGCGGGGCCACAATAGGAAATCCAAGTTTTACATGGAAATATATAGGAAAAATCATTAAAAATCTTCTTCTCAAGAACCAGTGGGCCAGTAAAGCTGAAAATAATATGGAAGCATCCTGGGGTAGTGTAGAATCTTAATTGTTAAAAATCCTGACCCCCAGGGTAGTGCGGGGACACAATAGGAAATCCAAGTTTTCATAGAAATACATAGGAATAATCTTTAAAAATCTTCTTCTTAAGAACCAGTGAGCGAGGATAGCTGAAACATATATGAAATCATCCTGGGGTATTGTTAATTTTAAATTGTTAAAATCATGACCCCCGGGGTAGAGCGGGGCCACAATAGGGAATCCGATGTTTATAAAGAAACATATTGGAAAAATCTTCTTCACAAGAACCAGTGGGCCAGGAAAGGGGGGGCAGGGGCCACAATAGATATAAGAAGAGGGGAAATCTGGTAAAGAACTGCATCACAAAAGTTACTCAGGTGAGTGATGTGGCCCATAGGCCTCTTGTTTTACATTTTGATTATTTTAATTAAGGAATAACAGTCTTATTTTTCGATTTCATGATGTGATCACTCGATTGGCCAGCGTGATAATTTGCTTAAACGCCGAAGGTGTTTATGCATAAAATTATCAAGCATGCCAATCGATTGATCATCGTTATGAAATAGAAAAATTTGACAGTTATTCCTTATATTTACATGCTTTTGATTCCACCAAACCACGTGCTACAAGCCCTGCTTTTGTCTGGCTATTTGTCCTGCCCTGCACGTGATTTTTTTAACCTCGCCTATTGATGAACTAGTACATTTATGTAGAAATCAAGTACATTAACTATTTGTAATTTTATCTCGGACAAAGACATTGGAAATGTAAATATTATGCATGGGACACAAATAACCATGCATCAGACTCAAACAACAAATAACCATGCATCAGACTCAAACAACAAAGCATCGGACACAAAATGCATTTGACACAAATTAACCATGCATTGGACACAAATTAACCATTTATTGGACACAAATTAACCAAGTTGTACACAAAATACATGTTAAGCTCCATTTTAATAATTTTCAGACCTGTACAATTTTGCTTAAACTTCAAGTACAAGGGTGTTTGATGCATATTACAGTGTACTCACCCTATTGACCATATGCTATGGCTCCTTTGCTGAATTGTATCCTTCTCATGTGACCAATAAGACCCTTGTTGTTTAATATGTAACAATTTAAGAATAATTTCAATTCAATTTGATCAAGATGTATTTTTTTTCTTTTCTTTTCAGGGGTCCTAGTAGATTATTAATTAGTTTATATGCATGTTCTTTCTATTTTAACAGCTTCAGTGGCAAAGATGCATCACAAGAATATGAATATTTCTTCGGTGTGTGTACTGAAGCTTTAAATACATTACCCGGTGGTGAAACATATGGGCTCTTACAACAAGCCACGGACACAAAATGGTTTCATAAAATAGGAAAATATACAAACGCAACAATCATATCAGGAAGTACGTTTTTAAAAAAAAAAAAAAAAAAAAAAACCTTTTTATATCACACATATATTAGGCCAAAGGCTTAAAGGTGAGCTTTTCTGATCAAAATTGTTATTGCTGACGTTGTAAACTTTTCACAGTTTCATTTTCTCCAGAACCACTAGCTGACCCAGTATCAAAAAAACTTCCTTCAAAGCATTCTTCAGTAGACAGGTTTTCAAGTTTGTTTTAAAAATGAAAGGGCACCTCCTCTTTGAAAAGGGAGATAAATAGTGAAAATTAGGTGATGGCATTATAAGATATTGCTCTTATTAAGTTATGTGGAAGCTTCTTAACATAGTGTAATGAAGTCCTGGCTGCCAGAAATGAGATGGGACCACAAGGGATCAACTTTAACATGGGAATACATGAAGGGCAATATTGTAGAATTTTGTCTTCAAGGACAGCAGGACCATGATTTGTGATATTTATGTATAAACATTCTAAGGAAATGCAGATGAAAGATTTATTTAAAAGCATTGCCCCCCCCCCCCCCATGGGATAGGATGGGGATAAAATAGAGAATCAAATTCTTACTAGTACGAGACTGCACTGTGCAGATTTAAAAAATGTTTATTCTTCTACTCAAGATGAGGAGGGCTTTGTGTTTTAATAATAAGATGAAATCATCCTCAAGCTGAGCAAATACAGATTTGTTTAAATTGTTGAAAAAAAATAATATTGCAGATGCCATATCTGCTTGCATACTAGTATTTCATATAATCATAACATTCACTTAAGTTTTAAAACAAGTCTACAATGGATGCATGGAGATTAAATAGAGATGCTTTGTTTACTTTAGGTGATTGGATGATCTTGGAGTACCTGGATGGGGAGAGGTATCATTCACACTGTAATTCCGAGCCTCGTAGGGGGCGCGTCTTGTTAAAATGTGATCGTAATGTTCGTGTAGGGGTAAGACTACTCTTTCCAGCCAACAATTTATGCTAAAAGCAATTTGGGATGTATCTTAATGTCGGCCATTTTTTGTTGCAAAATTGTAATTAATGGAAGAACTATAGATACATGTAAGCTTTGATTGAAGGCAAAATTACATTATCCTGTACAATATTTGATTTCTTATACAATACAATACAATACAATGTTTATCAGATTGTACAGAAGTCTTTCCTCTCAAACTATTTTATGCATGTTTTAATCTATTTAATCATAAAAGTTTAATTAACATATAAATTTATCATAATAGCAAATTTTAATAGCAAGATAAATTGCTCAAAAATTCAGCTCATTTTACTTTAACTATTCCTGTTCCCTGTTACTTTCTCAGTGTTAAAGCATAGGTTGAACATAATAAAAATATGTTATGTCTAAACAATTTTTTAGTGTTCCCCACCATTGTCATGTACAAATTTATAAGCTGCCTTTATTTGTTTTTTAGGAGGAGGATCTGATTGTTTTAGAGGAAGAGAACAACAAAACTCAGGATTGTTTCTATTTATTTGAGATGAAAACCAGCGTGGTGTGCCCCAAAGAACATGACATGGATTCCATAACAATTTACAACATATGATGAATATGGACAGTACTTGAACACCACTTATAGCTTAGTTCTTGGAAGCCATTCATATTTTTTTCTATAAACAATATTGCCGAAAAAAAATTCCCACAATATGGTGTCAGACTCGAACAGCAATCAACAATACTCTTGTACCACGATTTCAAATGTTTGTGGAGAATCATATTGAATTTGAATAAGAAAAAACTATGCTGCTGAATTTGTATTTATTTGTATTTATTCATAATCTTTTTTTATAATTATCATTTTATAATTTATATGTTCTTTTAGAATCTCGTTTAATGTGTTTGTCTTTCATTCTAAGAAAAAAAATGAACTCATGTTTTTTATGTGCCAATCTTATGTTTTATGTGCCATTTCCTGAATAAACAAACAAATATATGCTTTCATAGTGAATTATTATTTTTTTTACTCAAAACACAGTGTCTAACCCACAAACTAAAACAAGAGGCCCACGGGCCTTACAGGTCACCTGAGTATTGTGTAACAACTTTCAATCAATTAAATTTGGTTCGTGTTTTAAACCAGGGGCCATGAAATTCACAATTCACAATTTTGAAAGAGGCACCATTGTTTATCATAATTATTAACTTAGCATGCTTACTCTATTTACTTAATACCCAGAGGTAGATCAGAGTAACAAAGAGAAAATGCACTTCCACTTAATACCAAGTTGTGCACCTCACCCCAAAGGAACCACTGACCCAGGGGCCACATATTTCAAAATTTTGCAAGTTAAATTTTATCATAAAATAGTTTATTAATACCAAAGAGCAGATTTCAAAGCATTAATTTATTTTCAGACTATGTAACCACCCATCCCCACCCCCGACCCAGGGGCATTAAAAAAACACTTTGCTAGATGCACCTTTCTTCAGCATAAATATATATACTTGGATCATTGGCATAAACCCAGAAGCAAAAGAAAATATTTTCAAAGAATTATTATATTTTTACTATAATCAATAGAGCCCCACCCTAACTCCAGAACCCCTGACCCTGGGGCCATAAAATTCACAATTTTGGAAAAGGCACTCTTGCTTATCATTACTGTGTGCTTAGTTAGTTTATTTGATACTCAGAAGCTGAGAAGAAGATTTTCAAAGAATAAATGCATTTTCACTATATAATCAATAGAGCCCAACCCTAACACCAGAACCTTTTCATTACTGTGTGCTTAAGAATAAATGTATTTTCACTATATTATCAATAGAGCCCCACCCTAAATGCATTTTCAAAGATTAAATGCATTTTCATATATATAGAGCCCACACCCTAACACCAGAATCCTCTTGCTCATTATTACTATCTACTTAGTTAGTTTATTTATTACCCAGAAGAAGAGAAGAAGATTTTCAAAGAATTAATGCATTTTCACTATATAATCAATAGGGCCATAAAATTCATAAATCTGGAAGAGGCACTCTTGCTCATTACTGTGTGCTTAGTTAGTTTATTTAATACTCAGAAGCTGAAAAGAAGATTTTCAAAGAATAAATGTATTTTCACTATATTATCAATAGAGCTCCACCCTAACACCAGAACCCCTGACCCTGGGGCCATAAAATTCACAATTTTGGAAAATGCACTCTTGCTCATCATAACTATGTGCTTAGTTAGTTTATTTAATACCCAGAAGCAGAGAAGAGGATTTTCAAAGATTAAATGCATTTTCACTATATAATCTATAGAGCCCCGCCCTAACACCAGAACTCCTGACCCTGGGGCCATGAAATTCACAAATCTGAAAGAGGCACTCTTGCTCCTCATTACTATGTTCTTAGTTAGCTTATTCAATACCCAGTAGCAGAGAATAAGATTTTTAAAGAAATAATGCATTTTCACTATATAATCTATATAGCCCCGCCCTAGCACTAGAACCCCTGATCCTGGGGCCATGAATTTCACAATTTTGGTAGAGGACTCAATGCTCATTACATTCATGCCAACAGTTTGCCTGCTTGATGTCCAGGAGTAAAGAAGTAGATTTTTTAAAGATTGCAATAATTTTTGTGGTTTTGGCCCCACCCCTCAGGCCCCGGGGGGGGGGCAGGGACCATGAAATTCACAATTTTTGATTCCCTTCACCCATAGATGCTCTATACCAAATTTGGTTGAAATTGGTTCAGTGGTTTTAGAGAAGAAGCTGAAAATGTTCAAATGTTAACACACGACACACGACGCACGACGACGGACGAAAACGGATAGCAATAGGTCACCTGAGTTACTCAGGTGACCTAAAAAAGGGAAGTTCTTGTGTTTTTCAATTGACAACATAATGCAGTCATGAGATTATGAAAATAAACCGATGATAATTCAAAAACAAGTATTTTAAAACTGCTTTTAGTGATATAACACATAGATATATATATGATCAGAGATTCCTCAGGAAACAAAATTCTCTCAACATGCAGCTTTGCTTTTTTTTATTTGTTGCAAAACGGAAAAAGACTTGAAAAGATGTATTATGGCGTTGAAGTTTATCCCATATTCGGTAATAATTGTATGAAACACTGAGAAATATAAATACTTAAGTTAATTTATCACTGATTTTTAGGATTAATGATGTTTCTTCTTTCAGTAATCGAGGAATGATACAATGCTTCCATACCATCTTTTTGTGTGCTACTACTGCCAGTTTCAGACAAGAAATTTCAACGAAAGCATTGATCACAACATCAAAAGACATCCTAATGAATATCTCAGATACAAAGAACAAGAAATAAATGCACAAACAACAAGAACACAGAATTTCAAAATCATTCCAAATGAAATAAAAAGCCAAGGCAAATTTATCATTCCAAATCATGTCCCGAAAAAAAATTGCATTTCAAAGTTTTAGTCTGATGACTTAACCAACGGACCAAGTTCACCAAAACAATTTGCAGAAATCCCCTCCAATCTGACGATGCCTCTGTAACATGTGATGGTATAAACGATATTCTGTAAGAATATCAACAATGTACAACGGCATTCTCGGATACTATGGATTGTGATCATGATATCGAAGAAATCGTTTCCATCCTTCCTTGATTTTTTTTCCAATTTATGAGTCGCTAATCAGCTCGACACTTTCCTGAAATTTATCAATTTTGTATCAACAGGGTCATTTCCCCTAGAAAATATAGCTTGAGGGTTATTTAAGAATTAAGATATCATTTTTAGAGTGTCATTGGGATATGACATGAAGTCGGTCACGTGATCAAATTCTATATGAAACGCTCGAAGGGCGTTATAGTAGATTTGATCACGTACCGACTTTATGTCATATCCCAATGACACTCTAAAAATGATATTTTATTTCTTATATTTATATTTTAAGTCCCATGAGTAAACTCCGTCGTCGTGCGTTGTGGGTTAACATTTGAACATTTTCATCTTCTTCTCTGCAACCACTGAACCAATTTTGGCACAAAGCATCTATGGGTGAAAGGGAACAAAAATTGTGAATTTCATGACCCCTGCCCCCCCCCCTTGGGCCTGAGGGGTGAGGCCAAAACTACTAAAATTAATGCAATCTTTAAAAATCTTCTTTACTCCTGGACATCAAGCAGTCAAAATGTTTGCATGATTGTAATCAGCATTGAGTCCTCTACCAAAATTGTGATATTCATGGCCCTGGGGTCAGGGGTACTAGTGCTAGGGCTGGCCTAAATAAGTATATAGTGAAAAGGCATTATTTTTTAGAAAATCTTCTTCTCTGCTCCTGGTTATTAAATAAACAAACTGTGTACACAGTTATGATGAGCAAGAGTGCCTCTACCATAATTGTGAATTTTATGGCCCCAAGGTCAGGGGTTCTTGTGTTAGAGCGGGGCTCTATTGATTATATAGTGAAAATACATGAATTCTTTGAAAATCTTCTTTTCTGCTTCTAGGTATTGAATAAACCAACTAAGTGCATAGTTATGATGAGCAAGAGTGCCTCTTCCAGATTTATGAATTTTATGGCCCCAGGGTCAGAGGTTCTGGTGTTAGGGCGGGGCTCTATTGATTATGTAGTGAAAATACATGAATTCCTTGAAAATCTTCTTCTCTGCTCCTGGGTATTAAATAAACTAACTAAGCACATAGTTATGATGAGCAAAAGTGCCTCTATCCATATCGTGAATTTTATGGCCCCAGGGTCAGGAGTTCTGGTGTTAGGGCGAGGCTCTACTGATTATATAGTGAAAATACATGAATTCTTTAAAAATTTTCGTCTCTGCTCCTAGTTATTACATAAATTAACTAAGTACATAGTTATGATAAGCAAGAATGCTTCTTCCAAAATTGTGAATTTTATGGCCCCAGGGTCAGGGATTCTGGTGCTAGGGTGGGGCTCTATTGATTATATAGTGAAAATACATTAAATCTTTGAAATTTTCTTATCTGCTCCTGGGTATTAAGTAGATGAACTACCTATATAGTTATGAGGAAGGGTCCTAATCTTCCAGAATTGTGAATTTTACGGCCCCAGGGTCAGGGGTACCACAGAGAGGGGGGTGTACTTATATTCTGAAAATGAATGAATTCTTTGAAATCTGCTCCTTGGTATTAGTCAAATAATTTTGAAAATCAAGGATGCCTTTTCAAAAATTGTGCAATGTGTGGATCTAAGGGCCTAAGGTTCATGGGTTCGTGTGTGGAAGGGGCACTACTGATTATTGCTGAATATTATTGATTAGTCGAAATGCATTGTTTGTTACCCTACCCTGCCTATGGGTACCCACACTAAGAAACTGCTAAGTGTATAGTCAGGTTGATCAATGGTGCCTCTCTCAATTTGTTAATGTAATAGCATCTGGCTTAAAACATGAATCAAATTCAATCACTGGAAAGCTGTTGCATAATGCTCATGCAGATGACCTATAAGGCCCATGGGCCTCTTGTTGTTTCTATTCACATTACAAAGACAAAACGCTCTATTTAGACTTTGTTATTGCATGCAACATAACGTATAAATACGACGTCATATGACGTCACAGTCAAGAATTCCCAAATGTCTCTTGCAGTTTGCTTTCCATACGCAAGAAAGTCTGATCATCTTACCGACTGCATGTCATTGAAAATTAATTTCATTTTTTTAGCATTGTCATATAAGGAAAGACATTGGCAAATGTAAATATTTGGAGATGTGGTCAAGTGGTATTCTATAAAAAAAATTCTTCCTTTATATGAAATAAGCGATATAAGTTAGTAAAACGTTTTTGGAGAACGATATGAAATCATTCAAAGATAAATTTCTTTGATTCATGTCAGGATTAAAAAATAATGGAAATATACACAATGGACATTCTGAAAGGGGACAATGTAATCCACAACAATCAGAAATTAATTTTGACGTACCATCACATGCTATTTTAGACTCAATGAAACATCATATATCTGAAGAGGTTTTAAAACCAGGAA